ATCCCAAAGATCACTATTAACGAGGTTTCGCTCGAATATGTCACCAATACTCGCAACTTGGTCGTGAGGCTGACACTACAACTCTGAATAGAGTAAACACGTCAGAGGTGTGACAAGAAAAGTATATGGTTCTTTGGCCTCTCTCCGCTTCCACAGAAGTCTTTCTCGATTGCCTTTAGAAAGAAGCTTGTCGAGCAGCTCGTCTTTCCGCACTTTAACTACCCCTCAGTGGTCTACATCCAGCTCGATGGAGAGCACACCCCAAAGTTGCAGGTGACCCAGAGCGCGTGTGTGCGTTTCGTGATAGGATGGATCAGATATATTCCCACACATTCACTAAATAGCCACATCACCTATCTTAGGCTAGCCCTAGGTTGGATATCACTAACGTCAAACCGGTATAGAGCCCTTGCTGTCCTGGCCTACTCTGTATTGTTTAGGAAACCCCTCAATATTTTGTAAAAAACGTATCTGTCCTGCTCGATAGTATCACAATTTGACGCTTAGGTCGCCGTCCTCCATCGACATGTGAATGCGAATCCCCTCGAACCGAAGCGTAGAAACATTCAGATTTTGACCTTCAAAAACTGAATACGTGGCCGGTTCCGAAATCATGAAGCTCAAAGGTGGATTGAAAGAGCGCCCTCTGATAAACTAATGCCAGTGCCGCATATGACCGGTTACATTTGCATACCTGACAAGATTGATCCTGTCGATTTCGAGCAAAATTGTCCAGTCTCACACACAAATTCCACCATCAACCTATGGTTTATCAAGTAATCGAATTACCTTGAACTTGTGTCTCAGCTCAGTGCACCTTTGCTTCCATCTCTCACTTTATCCTTCTAAATTCGTTTCCAAAATAGGTACTATCGCGTTTTCACAGTGTTTTCACAGTATTTTTATAATATTTTTACAGTATCTAGTCTTATCTCACAGTATCTTATTGGTCATTATATTTAAAATATTAAAAATAGAATTTTTATTATATATTATAAAATGAAAAGAAATCTTACTTCGTTTTCTTTTCTCTACTTAAATAGTATGCTGTTAAATCCCTAGCCATTTTTTGCAGAATACACCTACCTTAAGTTTTAATCATATTCATATTATACATTGTTTTTATATTTATCTTAATTTTTATCTTTACCTTGTCATTTTATCGTCATTCACCGACAACATTTTTAATTATTTTTAAATAATTTCAGTTCATCTTACAGCACAGAAATTTTTAATATCCTTATTTTGTCATCTCTCATTCACTTTACATTATATTTTTACTTGTAAGTTAAGTGCGCTACTTTTAATTTGGTGTAATTAAATAAATTGTTATTCTCTCCCCCTCCCCCTCTCTCTCATCTCTCATTCTAGATTCATAGATCGAGAGTATATCATTTTATTAGTTTTCTACTAAGCTAAAGATGTAGCTCATTATACCGCACTTCTCACTCTATGATTCATTTTATTTCGGTGGTGCTGTACCAAGGTGTTGCTTCAATAAGTCAATTAATGGGAATTAATTTTTTCAATTTTCAGTCTCAGAAACTAGTTTTCTGATTTGCATAAATACACGGAATTGTGTAGATCGATTTGAATGATCATTCCGTTAGATTTTGTCAAATATCCTACTTGTTCGGGTTGAGGAGTGAAATGACGAAATTAGTAAAAGGCGAATTACAGATTTATTACAAACAACACAAGTCGAACACAATCAATAGTACAAAGATAAAAGCTAACATTAGATACAAACGTATTACAGATTTATTACGAAAAAAAACAACAAGTTGCTGCAGACAACTATCGCACGAAAAAACGACGCTAACCTGCCTAGGCGAAAGGTCGAACGGTTCTGCCTGAATCCGCTGAGCGAGTCAAAAAAGAAGCATATAGTTTTTTCCCTCTCCCGCTTTCCCGTTAATTTTCCTTCTCTCGCGGCTCAAGGGCCGCGGGGCGTTGCTTGTTTTCGCTTTGCCGCCAATGATGGTGTTTTTCAGCCTGCTGTCCTGCTCGCGTCACGTTTCACGATTAGTTTTCGAGGGGGACCCACGGCCCCCGCTCTCAACCTTTTCAACCTTCGAGTCTTTATCTCGATGTAAGATTCGGAAATACACGTTTCCGATCTGCTGGTTTGATTCGCAAGCTAGCATCAATTCTGGCTGTGCGCATGCTTAATCGAGCTTGATGGACAGCGGCTTTCGCACACGGGTGCAGGTTTCCTATTTGAACAATTTAAAGTTTGAGGATCTCAACGTCTCGTTTGATTAGTTCTTTATTATAATTAAAATCGACTCGTGTCAGCGCGCATCACGCAGAATCGCTCATAACCCGTTTAAACTCGCCACTCGACCTCTCACAAATTTGAAATTCTATGGTGCTTATCCTTAATCTTAATATTAATATAGCGTCGCTGGCTTACAATATTTCTTATGACTATAGAAATTCTTTCAACGTCACATGTCTTATCCGATCCGTAACATATTATTTGTAAAAGGAAACTAGTAGGAAAGGTCTTTGCGCGTCGAGAAGGCCCGCAGAAACCTGAGCGAAAACATGTGCGCGATCAGCGGTCATCGTCGGGTCGGGTTTTCTTGCAGGCGCTACTCTTAGGTGAGGCTGTAAATCATTCTTAGGCGCACTCTGCTTGTTTTTAAAAACGTTTCCCACACATTTGGATATCGGGTGATTAACGGTTCGAAATGCGATTGCGCCTTGGTCTAAGAAAAAATATATCGCGAACGGGCATTCTGTAACTAGCGCGTGATTTTGATTCTGACTATTTTCCTCACTTAGCATACGAACGCGTAAATACTTAGTCATCCGGAACACCACTTATTTGCAATCTAAGGATAACTGCTGACCCGTCGTTGTCACCAGCACTCATCTACACAGACATCCCTATCCTATTTCAATCTTAACGACTTCCTCCGAAAATTCTATTGTTTACTCGCCAAAGGGTATATTATTGTTTACTCGCTCATAGTGATGCATTCCCAAGCTAGTCTAGGTCACCCTGAAAATCCCTTCGCTGTTTGTTCCTTTACCATTTGACATTTACGAGAATTATACGAGAACTGCGTCTCACCAAACAAGCCAGTCAGAATTTGTATCTCTTAATTTGAGCAATTCGCTTTTAATAAAAACTCATATCGCTTATATTATTCACTTTGTGAAATCTTTACACCTCTAACACTCCCAATTTCAATTCTAACACGCCGAATTTAAAAATTTTGTCCGATCATCGCGATTAAAAATTTTAAAGAGTAATGCAGCAAAGCTCTCAGAAACACGAATGAATATAATAATCTCTTCGAATATTTATGAACAAACATTGAACTTTATAGAGGAACCTAGTTTATGACATGAAGTAATTAGAATTACAGATTATGTATACAGTAGGGCAGAAAAATAGATGCAAAAAACAACTATCATATACTAGAGAAGAAAATTTTAAGAGATCTTAAACTGCCCACGGTCGGTATTTTACCCAATTAAGAATTCTAACAAAAGAGGAAGAAAAGGCAAGGAAATTCTTCTTTAACACTTGGTAGCTCCCACAATGCAGCAGATATTCAAATGAAGCAAAAATTTAAAATAGTTCCTGAACAGTGAGAAATTTGGTAAGCAATGAAAACTTGTTACAAATAGTATAAATAATGATAAAAAATTCCAGAGAAATTCGAAGAAAAAATAACAAATTCTTTTCTAAGAAAATGCCAAGTATATGAAAAACTATTTTTTCTTTTTAAAAAATCTTTATCCGAAGATGTAATCACTATTGATGTTGGTTACTTGCTGTCGATATGTTTTCCAAGAACAAATGTGTAACGATTCAATTGCTCGAGGCTCAAGGTTAGATGGAGTCAATCGCGATTGGCTTGTTATGTTTCAAGTACGATTGAGCATATACACAACATCGCTTTGAATATCCTATCTTAACTAACTCGGGAATCGAAAAACATGTATACGCGGTAAAATTTAAACCTTCAATCATATAAGAAACAAAATAATTTTTTCATGGAAATTAAATGAATAATATTCAGCATCCTACAATTGTTTATATTTTTATAGTCAAGTAAGAGTTGATTACGTAGAAAAAATAGACATTGCAAAACGTAGTTCACGCAAGGGGGAGGAAAAAACACTATCATTTAGCCATCACTTCGCATCGTAGCGGTATACGCTAATTGAACCGCAAAATTACGCATAAGCCCTTTTCAGTATAAAAAAAGATTGTAAATTAATAATAACACGCGCGAGATGTAGAGGAAAAAACAACAGCTCCACACGCAATGCGTACAGGGAACGAGGGAAAAGGGCTGTTAAGGAGAAAATGTATAGATGGGGAGATCTATATACACCTGAACGAGAGAAAAGGCAAGCTGAGCGTGTAGCTACATCATAGCTTTGGCGTGAGTGCACATGCACATAAGTATCCAGCTGTGGTGGTGAACGACAGTTCGCGTGACAAGCGCAAATTACGAGTTGTTCGCTGCTACTTATTAGATGCCGATGGATAATGGCTGCCGGAAAATGCGCGTGTAAGTGTTCATCAAATCGATATAGTATTATACTTGAGAAAGAGGGTGAAAGAACCTCTCTTCTGTATGGTGACGATAAGCTGGAGCTACACCTACCAATTTGCCCCCCACTAGCACGATGATGTCTGCAGAACAGATTGACATTGATCTTGATTTGCTACATGTTTTCCGCCAGATCCTAAGATTACCCTCGATTTCTCTTTCAGAAAACGCGCTCACGTGTGCACGTATAAGCTTCTATCTTCTTATTCTCCTTTTTTTATCATTAAGAAGATTAGTTTTACGTTGAAGAAAGCTTTTTTTATCAGTAGAATATTGGTTTTCATTTTCTTGAAAAATAACGTGGATTATCTGAGATTCGATGGAATATATTGCCTTTTATAATCGCAAAATAAAATCAGCATTTCAATATAAATATTAATATTCTGTAATTATTCATTTCATTTACGACAATATTAAACGTGCGTGAGCCATCGGTTATGGTACATAAAGCTTTGCACTAAATTGAAAGTGTAACAAGTGAAAATTATGCCCTGCCACAAAAATGTCAGCAAAGTTTAAACCTTACATTCAATCTTATCAAGATTACATGTAATAAATTTTTACAAGCTATACATAACATATCGAGAAAAAAACAGCGTTTGAAATTAAAAGAGTAGAACTTTCAAAGGCGTGCACGCACGTACACCCGCATGCTTTTAGCAAATGCCTTTGAAGGAAAAAGCTAGGGTTTTACTTAGGCAAGTGTTTATGAGCGTAGCTTTCATCTTAGATGATTTTCAGCCCGGCAGCTGCGCCAGCCAAGCTCAGCTGTTTTACGGATATAATTAGATCGAGCTCACAATTCATTTGGAGATTCAATTTTGTGCTTCCAATTAACATTTTTTCCCAGCCGCAAGATTATAATTTACATCGAAGTAATTAGTTTGATAGTGGTATATTGCATTTCACGGCTGGATGATAATGAACGGGATTTCAGTTAGATCGTATTTCAGCATTGTAATGTTGTTGATATCATATCTGAAATCCAATTTCAGTTCACATGAATCGAGCAGAAAATGATACTGCAAATTTGTTTTCTACATAATATCGCATAAATTGTATCGTAGAGTAATTACGTTTCATGCAGTGCTTAATCTCTTGTTGTAACAATAATTCAAATGATCCAGTTCTAATTGGGTATTCAAATGATTACGCTTGCTGTAGTTGATTCGCCATGATATATTTCAATAGATAATTCCGGTTATGGTCGGACAAACACAACTTTCAAATGAAAAACTATCTATTAGTAACGTAATGAGTCATACGCATCAATCGCGACGGGAAAAATCATGGTAAACAGTGAGTGTAATGTAATGCCCTAATGCAAAGCCCGAAAAACAAGAAAGTCGAGTAGGAAAGTTGGCGTAGTTCAACAGCAGAGTCCTGCGCGCATAAAACCAGGTATTCCATGGTCGGCGAGTCCCATGAGAAATGTTTTTCCATTAGCCACTCACTCGTGTGTACGTTTGAGTGTGTTTACAGAGGGCTCGCTCTTGGGGAGGGTGCTCTGCCTCTCTCGCGTAGCTTAAATAGCCCAGGTAGCAGCGACGGTAGTACACGCCTCGAGAGGCCCGGGAGCGCCGCGTGCTCTCACAAAGTGAAATATCGGCCGGGGGATCAAAGTGCAAGGGACTTTTACGCTACGATAAGCGATTATCGGGCGCCAACAGCCAAGATGTCGGCTCAATTTATGAATCCACTCGGCTTTCCTGTTTTCCTCCTCGTTCTCGCGCGCAGACAGTTTCTGCTTCTCTCCTATTTACTTTGGGACCTGAGGATGTTTTCCATTCGAGCGTGCACGAGACTTGGATTTTTATTGAGCGGATCGGAGCGCGCGCACGCTCCTGAGCGACAAGTGCACGTTGTAAAATTTTTAATGGAACAGTACGGCCCGAGAGAGAGGACTGCAGTTGGATTTTTGTTTTATTAAAACTAAGTATTGCGTGAAATCCTTCGCCTACTTTTGCGAACTCGCGTAGCAAAGGATAGTGGACGAATAAGAGACGTTGTTCTCCTTTTTACGACTTACCGTGAACTTAGCTCTTTACTTTTCATTCATACTTTTGCGTTTCACTGGCACTTATTGTTTTTACGACGGCGTACCTCTCAAATGTTTTAATATAAAACACGAAGTAACAGAAACACGCGTGAAACAAAAAAAGAATACATTATTTTTTCATTTAATGACGTTAAATTTTGCTGCTAAAAACGTACAATAATAGAGAATCCGTCGATTCGAAACGTACAGTCATCCATATAAAAAGAGAAAGAGAAACGCAATTCTCAATAAAAGTCATCCGAGCATTATTTCACGGTCAGTCGGCCAAATCGAATAATTAAATCAACAAACATGATGCCATTATATTTACAAATGAAAATGCAATATTGTCGAGAAGCGGCGAAAATTGAAAAACGAGTTGCTGCTGACGTCGGTGGATTGGTCGATGATCACGGTATTCTGGCGACGAGCCAGGGCAGTTTGCCGGTACGTTTGAAGTTCCAGTAGTCATAGAATAGCTTGACGAGAATCAGGATGATGAGACTGGCCAGGAGCACGTTGAGAATATCCAGTGGGTATACCCAGTAGTTTTCATCCGTCGGCACGCAAATTTCCGTCCTCGATAATTCGCGAATCTGCAAACAGACCCATAATTGCCATAAGCCAAGATGAATCTATGAATGCCAAGTGTCGCTTTGTTCACTACATCTCTTCTTTAATTTAATTCTCCCTCTTAGCTCGCCTCTCTCCTACGCTCTTTGTTTCTTACAAAATTTACATTAGAATGATATTTATCCTCAAGATATAACTCCATCTTTCTGTTAGTTATATCAAAGTTATATCAAATTTGTTTGTTTGTTACCTGGTTAAGTCACAACTAGTTTGTGTTAACCGTATTATCGAATGTTCTGGCGAAAGTTCTAATTGATTCACATTTTCAAAATAATTATTTAATTTTTAAAAAATTATTAATTTCAATTAAGTATTTATTTTCTGATTATTTTATGGCAAATAAATTTGCCAGCGTGAGTGGAAAATAAGTAGATTGATTAAAGTTAATTAAAAATTCGAAAGCCATAAAAATCCACGTGAATATAAAATCGCTTTATAAATAAATATTCACAGAACACAACACACGCTAGCTTGAAATTATTTATGTAGCAGTACAGTATCCATCAACAAAATATAATATCAAAAATTCTTACTTTTTTTGAAAACCCAATATTCCAAGTTTAAAATTCAAAAGGTACTGTTCAATTTACACTTTACGTACACACAAATACATATCTCGTTAAGTTCTATTAAATTTACTAATTTGAAAAAGTTTACATATTTTCTTAAACAAGAATATTTAAATTTAAAAATTACCAAATGCTATCCCAAACAGGAATAAGCCATATAACGTAAATATAATCCAAATAATCAGTGAAAAATCATGCTCTTCTTGAACATTTTATAATTTGTTTCAGTTTTCGATAAATTTTAGCAAAAAATTATAATTTACATTTGAAAGACTGCAGCAAATAAACAATTATTTGAATAATTTTAGTATGTGCTTAGAATACTTGTCATTAAAGAGCAGTAATTAAACTTGTATGTTCATCACATCCTAGACGGCATAATGCTGATAAAGTCTGCTGAATCTCAAAATGTTTTAAAGAGAATAAATGGTTAAAATGGTAGAACCCTAAACATAATTAAAATAATATAACAGGCCGTCAATCGTCAAAAAATGAAGATCAAAAGTTTGCGAAGCAGTTTTAGTTTGCTGTTTATCATCAAGCGAGTTAGTTGTTATAGGATCTTCGTAATAATTATTTCTGTAGTTTAGATAAAAAAAGCAGCTTTCTGTACGTGCGTTGTTATTATATCAATATATTGAGGTATTGGAATATTACGAAGTTTAAAAACGCATCGAAAAGAGAAAATTTGAAAATCTGCCACTTTGAACCCATTGATAATACATAACGTTAAAATTCAAGCGTCTTTAGTAATAAACAGTGCCATTATTTTACGATAACATACTCTTAAATTAAATACAGAAAAAAAGTATGTCACCAGTAAACTTTCTGAATAAATAAAGTAGAATCGTTTACCTGTTTATTGGCAAATTCGCCGTTTCCTACCGGACCGCATCTAACGTCGCTTATGTCCTTGACCAAGTAGCCATACTTTATAAGAAGCTCTTGAAAGCCCGGCGTAAATTCACAATCGCATCTCCACGGATTGTGGCCGAGAAAAATGTTTACCGCACTTTCACTGTTCGGCAAAACGTTCTCGAACGCGTACGTCGGAAACTGAAAGTATTATTGGAAATCGGATTTATCGAATTGAACGAAAGGACAAATCTAAAATGTGTATGGGTTTATCGCAAGCTCTAACATTGCAGGTATATGATATTTCTTTTCAAAATATATGTAGAGATCGTCATGGTGTTAAGTCTATTTTGCTTGTACATTCAAAATTAGTATCGTAAAATGTATACAATACGATGATTGATATAATGAGGATATAAATAACAAAATACACACGTCGGTCAATTTATTACCCCGGAGACTCAAAAGTCGAAACCTCTCTAGCCAGTAAGAACCGTCTAGCATCATTATAGACTCGATCATATTGTCATCCAAGTACAGGTCCAATAAGGATTTATAAACAGAGTTAGATTTAAGAGGTGCCAAATCGGTGATCTGGAAACAAGTTTTCAAATTAGCGTAATCTTTGCGACCTGGCCATAACTTTTTTTATTGGAAAGGCAAATTGTATATCAGCTGTTTAGAAATGATCGATAACAGTGCTCGAAAGATTTTAAACATTAATTCTTATTTAGCTACCTTGGGTCATTGATTATTCCTAATTCCCATCGATTATCATACAAACTATTTTGAAAAACATCGCAATAAATGTGATATTCCAAATTTCATGAAGTTTTTGAGATATGGTTTCCAATGTTTTCAAGTTTCCAAGTGTTCTCAAAATTGTACTTTTAATTTATGTTTCAACTGGAAACAAAGTTCCGACAGAGTGCATATACGTATTCAAACATCAAATTTATAATTTATTTTTCAGGAAATTTGTCAAGGCAATTTTTTTACGAAAAACGGAAAACTGAAAAAAACGTTTTAGTGATTCTTGTGGAACCGCAGTAAGTAGAAAGTACACGTCAAGTAATTCAAGTAATATAGCAGTGAAACAGTCGATGAGCAAGGAGACGCAGGGTCGGCCGGACGCAAACACATCAGCAGTGAGCAGCGTCGAACTAACTCGGCGTGCGCTCCACGTTTGCTTTATATATACGTGCGCTCGGCGATCCAGCGGGTACACATACGCACCTTGTTGCCCTCAAGGTGGAGCGTGGTGGTGTTGGCAGGCAGGAAGGACGGCATATCGGTAAAACCCCGGTGGCTGCAGTTGACAGAGGCGAAAGCTATAAACGTACGCTGACGAGGCAGCGACAACTGCTGTTGCTGTTGCTGCTGAGACTGAAGTCCCAGGGTTAAACCGTTCACGGCGTACACTAGCTTGCACTCGCATACCTTCAGCAGCAGGCACTCTTCGGCCAACTGCTACGGGCGCAATTGTACACTGCTTTAACTATCTATTAGGCGTGAAATCGTACTTGCCCTATGGGGATATACCGCTGTACATTGCTAGGCACCCACTACCCTCCAACTACATTCATTGCGTTCGACGACTTTGTCGTTTGACCTCATACATATTTTAAACACAACTACAGTGCAGTATTTCAATTCGAACAGTTTCAGAGCTGACGAATTTACTTATGGCCTTAATCGTTAAATTTTCTTCGTTTAATCGCAGTTTGATCATTCCGTAGCAATTGAAATGTTTAAAAATATTTATAATTGTAACAAAATGTCATTGAACTCATTAGAAGTCAGTTGAAAAAGTGTTCGTAAATCAAAGAATTAAGTGAATACAGTTAACCTTTGAAATAATTAGTTACTGCTGTTATTATTATTATTATTACTTCAAGAACTACGTTCGTGTGGAACGCTGCAGAGGTACAATAGGTACCTGTACGCATTAATCTTGATTTTCTATACTCATTAACATGTAAACTTACCTCTCTACCTCTTTTGGAATAGTAAGAGTAGAGAAGATTTACACGCATGACATCTTACAGTAAAGTCACGAAACAAACTATGAAAATCTCATGGTTAAAATAGTTAGCAATGCGGTCCAATTCATCGTTAAAATAGTCTGCCAAATAATTATTTTGACAGTGTGAAAATTATCAAATTTGATTTGTCTCCCTCGTTGACAACTTTTTGGTAGTGCCAAATAATTTTACCTGTTTGAATTGCATGACCGGCAGAAGAGGTCGATTTTTGAGTGGTGCCGCGCAATTAAGTTCCTCCTTGTCAAACACACGATGGACTAACGAGGCAAAACTTGCGTTTGCGAACCATGCCGCGCTCTCGTCGCATTTCCATTGGTTTCCTTTGTAACGTTACCGAAGGAAACAAAACGAAAAAAAAAATTGAAAACTAAATTTCTCTTTTCACTCGTGATTAGTCGTAAAAGTGTACCGCGTCTTTCAATATTACTTCAAAAGCCTTTCTCGTTATTTCTTGAAAGTGAAGCAACGTTTTAATGTGAATTGGCATCCCGGAATCAAATAAATAAACTCAAGAATGTATCAATAAATTTTTAGAAAATAATGAGTGCTTGTCGTTATTATATGTGTGTGTGTGTGTGCGTGTGTGTGTATGTATGTATATATGTATATATGTATATATTAGTATTTATTCGGTCCGATATTCAAAAGTTGACGTAATAAAAATAATCCTTGAAGAAAAACAAAATATTTTTATAGTGTCACAAAATAAACCAAGAGAAACGAAAAGCTACTCAATAAATCATATCCAGGTTTATATCATGATAAATCAAGCATATGTCTTGGCATAATAGGTTTATTTTTATTGTACAGTTGTTAAAGTTACATAAATGAATATCGACAGAAACGTCTGGAGCGAAGTGACAGCCGAGCAATGAAAATAAATAGATAGCTAGAGGCAAAGAGATTGAGAGAGAAATAATCCAGTTTTTCAATTACCTGATAAATAAAGCTCTTGCAGGGTAGGAATGCCAATCAAGTCTGTCGGATCAATGTAGATAAGGGCATTGTTTCGCAAATCAAGCACCCGCAGAGCCGGCAGATCGGCGAAGCTTCGTGCCGTCAGTGTACGCAGGCTTGTGCCCGTGATTTCGACCACCTAGGTCCACACATAGTTTGCCAAAGCGTCAGTATCAATTTACTACTCGCCCGTCTAACCTATTACTATCCGACCTCACCCCCCCCCCCCCTCACATGCGCGGCATAAAGCGAATCTACCCCAGGGTTAATAGATTCTTAATACTATCTCTCTCTCTCTCTCTCTCTCTCTCTTTCTCTCTCTAATTTTAGCATACACTATTTTCCTATTGGATGTTTGTTGTGCGTTAATTACAATTTTAATTTTTTTTGGTAACTTTCGCCTACCTTATTTACTGCTAATACTGTTAACTTCGCAGAATTATTTACCACAATTACCTTTTATCTCTTATATAACTATATAAATCAGCTACTGATTATTTTATTTTTTTTTATGATTAACAAACAGTCACGTTTTCACAGACAATGAATATTCTTAAAATAAAACATTACCTCAAGTAGATTAGCACTTGCCGGAAAAGGTGAAATTATCGAGGTGAGATTGCCGCTTTTTATCACAAAACGTCGTAGACAAGAAAAATCTTTCAATACTGATTCCGCATCCAAAATCTTGTCATGCCCATCATGAATTATTAAAGTATTGATCCTCCCATAACTACAAAAAATGTTCAAAGCTCTTATGACCTTAATAGTTGTAATTCATAATATACATATACATAATATATCTCAAGAAATACATATGAATTCATCATATTTCAAGCTAATTCTGCTGTAATATGTCAAACGATAGTCTTTGTTTGAATTTTCTTAAAGAGATATTTTGATATAAATGAATCGAAAAGTCGATATTTTTTATTATATAAATTGAACGTACACATATTTAAAAATATATTGTTCAAGTGTTAGAGCTAATACCAAAGCGGTGGAACTGTTGCAGCTGCTTTTTCTTATATCCTATCTATTCATTGCGGTGCGTAGAGCAAACTTCAATCACGAAATAAAATTTTCACGACTCTTCGCTTTTATATAAAGAGAATTATTCAGCGAGTTTTCAATCCATCGTAAGGAAAATCACTTTAAAGAAAATTCAATTATTGTTTCGATATCCCTACCAAGATATACCTACCATTAAATTTTTGATATACCTATCTTTAAATTGGTTGTGCAATGCCAATAAAATACGTTAATTTTTTTTCAAAAATCCGCTATTTTTTTGAAAAATAGTTTCAAGCTTTTAAATTAGACATAACAAAGAAATTTTGCTGCTATTATACTAAAAACTCCTTTTTGTGTGTAATATTTCAGAAAACAACAGGAAACGTGAGGCGCCTAATATAATGGCGCAAGAGAAAATGTTTACATCTTAATTATTAGATAGTTTACATATTAATTATTAGAAAAGAATGGTTTAACTAATATATCGAATAAAAAATTGTTCAGGGTCTCACAAACTGTAAACCGAATACTATAAAAGTTTAAATAAAAGCATCATATAGTTTTTTTCAAAAAGATTCACGAATTCCATCATCGTTGGTCATTGATAATAAGATATTTCTTTAACTCTGGATACCGACTACAAAACTAAGTAAAATGGAATATCAATAATAGACGAGAATTCTGAATAAAATATAAATCTTATATGAAATCACGATATAAGTCAAGGAGATCAATTTTGCTATTGAATGAAACATTGCCAATATTAAAATTATATTGTTTCCTATACCCTTCAATATTCGGAGTATGCGGCGGAGCGTGCAGGCAAAATAAGTTGCTTTCATTGAGACTCGTTTCGATGCTGCATTCATCGGGATTGGTCAAGACAGTAAAGTGTAGCCTCTTCGGTAACAATCTGTAAAAGTCCACATTGATCTAAACGGACCGCGAAATTGTAGTTCAGAAAGCAAAAGATATTTTCATTTGGGCCGATTCTATTATTAAAAAGTATAATTTCCTTTACAGAACGTGCCTTTTATCTCTTTTTCGAGTCCGCGGCAGACGATTTAATTCCGATTCTGATGAATAAAGCAACGGCTCACTTTTAGGTCGACGCGCATTGCGGCAATCGATATTTGTCATTAATAAACGGACAACAATCCATATTCGAAGCTAAAATAAGTTTTACAATGACGCGATCTCGCGGTTTTGGCGAGCTTTCTTGTACGTTCGTCGACAACTTTAATTTGCTGGAATATTATTAGTTTTCAACGATGATTGAGATTCATCTTTATCGACTTTGTCATATAGTGAGAATAATCACGCCATTTCAAACTGGTCTTAAAAATGATATAAAATATTTTTTCTATTACTTTTTATGAACTTTTCCAAGTAAAGCGATCTTGTACGACTGTAAAAAGATGCGAGGAAACAAGCTCCTCGTATCTTATCTGATATTCAGAGAAATGTACATGCATTAAAAGCTCAAATTGATAGACGAAAGATGCAATTACCAAAAGACAAACTCGCAACGGCTGTGTAAGCTAGAGATAGTAGTGACGAATAAAGTAACTGAACATTTTACGATTGCTCGATAAAGAAGTGCGACTATCTACGTCAATTGTGAGTAGAAAAAATAAACATATCACAGAGAGCCCGCAGCTGCTATGATGTTGACACTTGTCCAAACGTTGTTATTACTATCGTTGGGAATCGCCTTTTTTTATTTTTAGTACTCGCGCGGCGCACTTTTCAGCGCTCGCTTGAACAATCGTGCTCCCGAGCCCTCCACGTGACACTCAATGAAAATAGATATTGGTTTTTATCGTAAAATTTACTGGTGCGAATTATTTTCCTACGACGTTGGATTTTTTTCTTCTTTATGAAAGACGTACGGATTTACTGAATAATTTAAGCTATGTTATAATTGCAACTTGTTGTTTAATGTTAAGATAATGAGAAAACAAATTGTTTTTATATATGTCGAAAATTGTTAAGTTTAAATTAGTGAAATTACGAAATAAAAATTCTGATTCTAACGTTTCTTTTAACATTTTTCATCACTAAATTATTTCTGCCAAATCTTGAACGTGTTCACTCAAACGGCAAAAAAAAATAAAAAAAAGCACACACACAAGATACGTAGCCACGATGTCTTACAATTAAATCAAACTCACGTAAGAAGAGCGACGAACGTCCAACAGATTTCGAGCATCATCGCGTTGCGAGTTGGTGCGCGCAGGCGCGCGGACCTGCACGGAAAATCTCGCAATGAAAACTGAAAGAGAGAAATACAGAGAGACGCGTCTCGCCGCGACATGTAAAAGTATGATAGCTGTTGCGCCAAAGCAAATACATCACATGTATGCGCGCCAGATACGAAGGTGTGCGCACGTCGAGGTAACCCGGCGAATGCTAATCCAACCAGAAAACAACCAACCAACCGCGTGACCGCCGCCACGAGAGCAGAGACGATTAGCATTATTAAATTAGTGTTAAATCATTGCTGTACATATAACAAGCAGCTAACTCATTGCGTGCATCCCACAGTATGTAGTAGTAACGCACATAGTGCTGTTAATGAGGCGAAATTAGCTCGCGTTGCCAACAGTTTCTTGAACAAAATAAGGCCCATTGATATTAAAATAAGTAAATGAACTTACGCTAGATATATTCAAGTTGTTAATTATAGATTCCAATTGTGCAACCACAATCTGCAAAATTCTTAAGTTATTTTATTTAATTGGCTGTTTTTACTCATATTATCGCACCAGTAGCAGTATGTAACGTTTTTTATAAAAAAAAACTTATTTCGGAATATCATTTACTTTATTTTTACTTAGCGCTATGTAAGTTGCGTGGACAACTTATGCTGCTGTACATGCGAATTTTAGTTATTTGAATATTTGACAGAAAGTTTCTTCGTTATCGCAAAATTTTGATTTCGTAAGGTGATTATACTTGTGATAAGATATTTTTTTACCAAAGCGATAGACTAAAGACTACGTAAATTACTATTTCACGGCATGTACTCAACCTCATTTAACTAGTTACTATCTAACTTGTAGCTACCAGACATTGATTGAATATTCCAAGTTTATACTACGAAGCCTCCAACTCAGCTTCATACTATACAAGATTAAACCACCTTTCTCTGTAGGCAACATCCGCACTTTAATGATTTTTCTAATCTTAAGTCTTCCCTCAAATAATTATTTCAGATTTTCACTCGCATTGATAGATCTCATAAATTGTCATGTGAATTAAAAAAAATTAATCATTCAATCATGCATACATAACTTAGATTTACATGATATAATCTTTTATTGTGTCGGACAAGAAGTACACAAACATACAATAATGTGCAAGTGTTGATTTGACAATTGATTTATGATTCTAGCACGCATATAAATCATGAAACAGCTGTGAAAAAACCTTTATTAATTAAGTAACGCAAATTGCTGCTACAAGAAAAATGCTTTTTCTTAATGACTGTGCTCATACAAATTGAACCTTTTCTTTTTTTAAACGAATTCATGATTGAGTAGATCACCTTCAGTGAAACAATATCATTTGTATATTTATATTGGACAAAATTTATTAAAATATGAACACTAATCTTGGTCTTATCACGTATAAGTACAAATGCTATGAGTTTTATTTTTCTTTTTTCTTCAAAACTAAAATTTGTAGGGCGTATACTACACCACAAGCGACGAACTAAACGCTCCGTTTTATTTATTGATCTAACGAAGTTCATTGAAAGCGAAAGTAGTAGCGAATTCGTAATGCACAGAGACATCTATTGGGTCGAATGCTATCTGTTGTAAACACGTATGGTAGTAGATATTGTCAGTCGATAATAATACGACTTTTTTGTAAATAATATTATATATTTTTAATTTAAAAACGTTTTTAATGAAGAAGCAACGTTCTTTATTAAAAAATGAGATAGCATATTATTGAGCACTCAATTTCTTTAGCGGTACTTAATTATAATATAGAATCCTCATACCATTAGCCGGCTCATGAAAAAACTGTACAACGCTTATTAATTTTGAAAAGATTCACTGTTTATCCATAAACTATCTAGAAATTGACAAATGCTAAGATATTTAATTAAAAAATATTCAGAGTTAATTATTTATAGATTCTTGATGAGAAAAACTAAGTTTGTGATAATAAAGGCGAAATAAAGATATTAAGTGGTGCTTATTTTATCATGATTGAAACAACAGAACTATTTATACCAGTGTCTAGTGTCATCAAGAGTGCTTCGCGTGCTCATCATTTGTGCTAATATTTAGTTTCATGTGTTTGAATCAAATCACGACTATTTATAGGCAAAATTAAAAATTCTAAAATACATCACATACGTACAACAAACAATTCTATGCTTTGACATGATAATATCCGTCTATATTAATTGGTAAATAAAATTCAATAAAAGCTATATTTTTAGATTTAGTTATAATTTCAAATCTAATAACGTAGTAGAATTTTAACTATTTAGCTATAGATAATGAAAAGCGCACTACTTTCATTTCTCCCTTTTGTTTTTTAAATAAATTGTACCGTCGGCTATGCCTGACTATTATATTTTATTTATTTTTTAATATTTATTTGTCTATGATTCAAAACTTTTTGTAAGATATCTCATATCATTAGATGTATTTTGTTGACAAAAACACTGGAAGTCAGTTTTGGCTCATTTGGAGCAATGCTTTTCATATAAACTAAAAATATAATACATCGCTTTATGATTCTATTGATGATTATACTTATTCGAAGCTAAATTTTATAACTTAAATATACAATAAATTTATATGCCCTAAGAATAAATGTAATTTAATTGCATTTAAGATTATTTTACCATGTTATTTTAAGGTTTATTATATTATTTTAAGACCGTTGGGTGAATGTGGATTATATTCTTTATCTGATGCTACGAATCGTCTTATTTTTTATTTATTGAAACGAGCCATTTATTAGCACCGATTTGCTACTTTTGCTACCAATTCGCTCACATCCTCATCTATGCTGAATTATGAATAGTAACTCATTAACTCGCATGATCACAGTTCAGTCAATCAGATAACGAATAAACTGGCTTCACTTTTAGAGCCATCTTTTCTTTTATAAAACGAGGAAGGAGGGTAAAAGGAGGAAAGGAAGAGGATTTATAAAAGGATTACTTGAGCAACATGATATGCTATTATGGTAATCTCTTCAAAATGATTTTAAAAGCCAATTTATATTGGTATCCAACAAAATAAAAATTATCATTTTTAACAATCGCCAATATGATATTTAACAAATGATAATAGAGGAATCGTATGAGCAGAAAGGTAATCAAATAATAGAATAAAATTTTTTTCTTATCTACTGTATTTAATCGTTATAATAACAAATTGCCGAGTCGTAAATTACAACTCAAAAAAATAACAAAATTAACAAACAGAAATACAATCAAGAAGAAATTCGTTTATAACGAATCCCACCAAAATTAATTTAAAATTAAAGTTCGCTGTACTTTAAAAGTGGTTAATCCATTAACGCCCACAGGAAGATTTTTTAAGAGCTGAGTTCAAATTATACCGCGTAATGAATTCAAACGGAAAAAATTTAGAAACTAGTTTCCTATGTTTTCGAGAGTGCTTTTACCAATGGTGTCGATTAAAAATCTCGACGAAAACATTTGTCATCGAAAAATTAAAAATAAATAAAAAAGCTTCATTGTTCGATTGAATTTCTTTTCAAATAGATTTTTCGATCCCTTAATATTTTTTTACATGCCTAAAACTTTTTGATATCGCAGCCTCGATATCTAAAATAAATATTAGTACATTTTTCCTAACATGGAAATTTATTGTTTAAACAAAATGGCTGCCGATATGAAAATATTTTTCGGAAATTTTACGAATTTTTTTCTCGAAAACTATAGATTTTTGTAGAAATTTCCTAGGAACAAAATTATCTTAAAATTGAACAAAGAATATTCTCATAATTTTTTTAGAATGTTCCAAGAAAATTTTTGAATTGTTGAAAAGTCACGGATTCAAAATACCAAAATTCTATCAAAAAATTCTACAATAATTCTAGGATACTCTTTGACTAATTCTAAGACATTTTTATTCTTAAAAAATTTGTTTTAAAATATATAGTTATCGAGCAAAAAATTCACGTTGAGTAAATTTTAAGAATATTTTACACGAAAACTATATATTTTACAATAAATTCTCTAAGAACAAAAATATCAAAGAATATTCTAGAAATATTTCAGAATTTTCTCATACGATTTTTAAATTTTCAAATTCGTGACTTATCGAAAATTAACAAATTTTCTCGCACCATTCTAAAAAGATTTTGAGGGTATTCTTTGATCAATTTTAAGATAATTTTGTTTCTAGGCAATTTCTACTAAAATCTATAGTTTTCGAAAAAAAATTCGTAAAATTTCCAAAAACAATTTTCATATCGACCGCCATTTTGTTTAAACAATAAATTTTCATGTTCAAGCAAACTTACTTATATTTATTTTAGATATTGAGACCACGATATAAAGACGTTTTAGGCATATAAAAAAATGTTAAGAGATCGAAAAATCTATTTGAAAAAGAATTCAATTGAAAAAATAAGCTTGTTTAATTTTTTTTTTTTGATTCTTCGATGGCAAAACTTTCTTGTCGAGATTTTTAACTATCACTTTTGGAAAGAGCACCCTTGAAAACAGGGAACAGTGGTTCCTGAATTTTAGTTCAAATTCATTACGTGGTAATAATTTGAACTCAGGTTTTAAAAAATCGTAAATTTCCACAAAATTACATATTTTTTGGTTTTCATTTTCTAACAACTTTCCACCATAAATAAATAACTTAGATTGTATTCGTAAAGTCATAATTTTTCAAGTTATAAGAATAAAACATCCGAATTCAAGTAAAAAACTAATAATTAATTTTGGCAGTTGGCTTACAAAACTCAATCGTCGATTAAATTATCTTATTTCTCTTCGATATTAACATTACCTAAGAAAAGCGCTAGAGTAAAAATTCATTAAAAATAACTTGCTCCTATTACTTGCTTTTCGACGGATTAGTAAAATCTTCACTCTCAACTAAATTAATAGTAAAATACTGTGTGGTGGATAACATGAAAAAAGATATTTAGGAAATAGAAAAAACCCTCATGACCTTGCTTTGACTTTATCGAAAAGTCTTTGTATAGACGGAATCACAGCACCATTGCTCTGCCGAATGCGCTGCGTTTAAATTCATGTACAAATTGAACATAACATTGTCATCTTATAAGTCCATAATTTCTTTTCCATATCTTCATAAAATGTAACACTATATAGTGCATGGTTTGGACATAGTATATGTAAATATTTACATACGTATGACGTTAACGTATGCCTATATCTGATTTCCAGATTTATTTAAACTATAGGTTGTAGTCTATACATTGTTGTTTTTGTTGTTATTGCACACTTTCCTATCTACTTTTTTGTGTATAAACAAACAGTGAATTGATTTCAACAAAACGCTCATCATTTTATTATCTATAAGTTATAGTGCTCAACAATGTTTTTCAGTTACAAATAAAAATGATCCAGTTAAAAACTTATGATAATTAGAAAATCAATTGATTTAATTATCAAAATTGCAAATTGTTAAAACGGACGGGAATGGGTAAAATTCGATAAATAATCGCAATATTCTAGCGCTATCCTTATCTTAATAGCTAAAAACCTTAAAAACTAAACAAATTATACAATAGTACCATTTTTATTATATCGACTAAATGAAACGCATTAGCATAATTTTAAAATAATTATAAATAGTGACACTTACATATAGTTCACGCTAATGGTACTAGCATGTATCTTGTATTTTCCAATGTACTTAAAAACTAGTGGATAGGTAATTTATCAACACTGACCCAAGAGTAGCTACTAAGAAACGAAACGACAAAAGTTATATTCTACATCGAGCTTTACTTTTTAATGGCTACTCTTGTTTATATCGTTCTTCCTAATCTACTCACATTGGAAAAGACAAGACTAAGTCTAACTAATATCAAAAGATCCTTTTTTTCTCGGCATGTACATTCACTGTTATTAATTCAGTGACAATTGTACCACAATAAGAGAGAAAATTATATAATCTTTGGACAAATAATTGTATATTGCAACTTGACAGTCTTAAGATCGTTGAAAATACTTTATATGGCTTCGGTTTTCAATTGAAATACCCCAAAACTTTTTGACAACTAGAATTAAGAGAAAACTACTTAATTTTAAGAATTTTATCATTTTATAATCGATCAGATACATCCTAACTATATCTACAATTTAGAAAACAATTAGTAAGAATTGTCCAAATGCACACCGAGACCAATTCAAGTCTAAGTGTTTAAGTAGAAAAGTTTGAAAAGACAAGTTGCAAGATGCAACTGGCCTGTATACACTTTTACGTATTAGATTTTTCCAATTCTGCTTATTGTTTCGATTTCGATAAATTGTTTGTTTCATCAGCCATTTTCTTTTTTTATCATAATTCTTTTCACTTTTTTTTACTAAAATACCGTTTCATTTTCTCACAATCAATTGCGATTACATTTTTCAACTTTCACTTTATCTATATAACTATACATATGTATAATATCTCACACAAACATGCCGCTTTCGCGTATAATTTATTTTCTGTTCATCTTAGAGACGGCTATTATGGTTTTTTTATTTATTCGCGTATCACCTATAGATTTCTATTTCAGCCTTGACGTGTCTTAATTGATATCTCATCGATTATGAGTGATTCCTTCTACGACTCGGTTGATGAATTCGTCGTCAACCTAAATTGAGTTGATTTATCTAATCGAACACGAACATCGATAATTAAGATTGTAAGAGGTGGGTAAAGCAACTTTAGACAAAAGCACTTTTAAGAAAAGAATTAAAAAGTCAATATTTTTTAAATAAATATAGTACTCTAGAATAGTCGCTACGCTGACAGTAAAACTAGCTAGATAATTTTAATAAAAATTTTTTTACCCACTCACTTATGAATCTTTTATATATATTTTTGGCACTGTTACGTACTACAGTTCATTATTAATCGTAAGAATTTGACGGAACTAAAACGCATTCATGGAATGATATAATGCGACGCGTTAGCCCTCGCTGATGAAAGTATACAATACCATTTATAAATGGCGGATCTTTATTTGTAGCCGAGTATAACACATACATACATATATAGACGTACCTCGTGTCAATAAAATGCCGAGGGAATTGGACTCACGGATTTGTAACATAATTCGGGACGTTTTGACTCATCGATTGCATAGTAGATATTTGGACGAAGCAATTGAGATACCTCACAAGTTATTCGCAGTCGAATTTGCGTGATGACGTCAACTCATACATATCGATATAATTTATATTCGTATTGGTTCTCGTAAAAAGTTCCTCTAAAATTACATTTTTCTTTTTTTTTTTTTTTTTTCATCGTTGACGTTGTTTTTTTGTACTAGTTTCTTATTTGACATTTGTAACATCAATGGTCGTAGTTTGAATGGTTTTTGAATTCTAAGTATTCTCTCGTATGATGGGGCGTAACGTTGAAAAGTTTTTTTTCCATCCACAATAATTGTAATAAAAATAAAAAGATGTATCGCTCTATATGCACGTAGTCTAACCGTTAAAAATTCGACGGCGAAATTGTCCTCGTGAGGTTTACTTTTTGTGTAGCATGGACAGAAGATATCATAGGTACGTCATACTAGTGATATATAACTATACCAATAGTAGCAACAACAATTGTTAACCTTATAGAACATTTTGATTCTTTCTAAAAAAGTTCTCTCCCCTATTCCTCTATATAAAAAAAGAAATGACATACTATTCTCTCTCCGACGTATACATCCTTAGTAGTAAGTAGACTGGTATAACCCTGAATCTCCGAGAGGAGCAGGGTAACCCGTTATCAGCACGATGGGGACGTCGAGTTAGGTGACTGAGTTAGTTGTCTCGTTGGAAAGATCTTTTATTTGCCAATGGTAAAAATAATATCATTATATATTTGCGCGTAATTGTACGAATTAGGCCGTGGAGTGCGAGTCCTATCGTCTATATATAATGCGCGCCAATATCCTTCTTATCTTCTTTTTAAGCGGACGTTCGTAGCTAGCGCTTGTGCTTGCCTATAATTCTCCTGCAGTCTTGCCTAGTGGGAAGAGAGTACAATATTGTGTATACGTGTGTTGGTGCGCTCTTGCCATTTTTGCTGGCTGTTTGCAACGCGTTAGGAAGAGATAAAGAGAGGGAGAGGACAGTTCAATGTTAAAACTCACCCTTGCGACAATGAAAATAAAAAAAGACATGCACGTATAATTTTTCTGAATGTAAAATATAGGAGATCGAAATATCATACTCATTTGCGAGTTTAAAGCTGAGGTTTTCCCTCCCAGTTATAGTACGGCAACAAATTTTCGATAAGGTGAACGAAGCGTTCGCCGATTTGAAGTTCTTTGTCAATAGGAGAACGCGCGCGATCGCACTGTCTTCACCAAAATATGCGAAACACCGGTTTAATTACGTATGTCCAAGCGTGGCAGATGATCCATTGTCATTTTTGAGTGTAAATCAAGCGTGTTCTGAAAAAGCACTCGACGTGATGGAATATTTCGAGTGCGCCCGCGCATTCAAAAAGTTTGTGTCAGATATTTTATCCGAAGAATCCCGATACATCGATAGCGTTGAAAATATACTCGTGGATATCGACGGGCTGTTCAATGTAGACCACGATTTTCTCATCTATACTCTCGTGACACATATGTGTAAGTGTATTTTCATCGTATAAGAAGCCCATCACTGGCTAAGTTCACGACGGTAAAGTATTGGACTTGTAACGGAAATTGCACAATCCGCAGTGCTTCGAATTCTCGATCGCGACATAAAAAATCATGCAAGCAGATCTCTTTCATGAAGATCGAGAAACGATGTTACTCATATATAGTGAACTAATAAAAAATATAAGAAATGCGCACAAGTAATTTATTGTTAATTATCTACGAATTCTGTCATATATTTAAAGTATAAGTTTTAATTATCTGTATTTTTTGTATTTTTAAATTTATAATAAATCAGGGTTTTTTTGCATGCCTTAACAAGGCATCTCTCTCAAATAAATTTTTTTTTTATTTCGATCTCCTACATTTTACATTTATACAAATGGTGTTTATGCGTGTGCATGTTTGCCTTTTATTTTTGAGCGTTTATCGCCGCAAGATTAAGTTTTAACATTGTTTTTCTTTCTTTCTTTTTTCCTAACGCGCTGCAAACAGTCAGCGAAAATGGCGTGAGCACACTAATACACCTACGCTTAAATGTACTTTCCCCTCCCCCAATAAGCAAGACAGCAGAGGAACTAGAGAAGCAGAAACGGTAGCTACCAATGTGTATTGAAATTGATGTTAAATATGTTGTATGCATGTGTGTGTGTATGTGTTATTTTTTCGAGTGGTAAATAAAAAATGTCTACGGCAGCCAAATGACTCGCAGCTAATGATGTATGCTTCATGTCGGCTCATGTTCCAGCCATCTAACTCGGTGCGCGCCATTTTGCTGATAACGGTTTAATCCACTATACGTAAAGATCCCGGATGTTTCAGATACATCGGATAATAGCGGTCTACTTACGGCTATCATTTCCTCAAAACCGAAAAGCAAGAGAAAAAAGATACACGATATATATATATATATATATATATATATATATAATTCTGCACTAACTAATTGCTCGCCTATCATGGTTAAGGTCGAGACTTTAGAAGATATGTGGTGCGAGCTGCAGCTTCCATAACGAAACTGGCCGAGCGAAAACAGTGACTTGGCCCTTCTCTTTGCCACCGACGAGGAAGACATAAAGAGGCGCCGGCCCAGGAGTACTTTTCTCGCTGTTTTCCGAGGCTGCCAGCTTAGCTCGTTGACGTTCTGCTCTCGAAGCACTAACTGCCCGACGTGACGGTGAACCCAAAGGTAAACTTTTCGGTGGAGCACGGGGCCTCATCTCCTGTAGTTCCAACAACTCGGTAAACGTCTGCGAGGCTGAGCGTCCTGGCTCGTCTTCTAAAACGCTGTCCGGCGGACTGTTCAACATTTTCGCGTAACGAGAGTCTATGTCGTTACCATTGGCTGTATCTAGACCTAAGTAATTCGGATTGCAGAAGCCATATTGACTCTCGCGTAGATTCTAGCAACAGCAGAAAAACTTTATATCATTTAACATTTTCATAGGTGCGATATGTTTTATTTAAAGAGTTGTTCAACCAACCGTAGATGTAATCGAGTTTCGCAAACTACTCTTTTTAGGCTTAGGCCAATCGTCCTCGGCGAGTGGATCTCCAGGACTTCGTGCCTCGATACTCGCGTAGTCCGACGTAGCCTCGTCGGCTTCCTCGAGATCGGCGAAGCGCACAGACGTCGAGTGTGGCAACTTCGTACACGGTGTCTTGGGTGTTTGTACATCGTAGATGTGAGGATTGTAATTTTCACTGCGTAGTGGTTGACAAGCTTGATGCACACTCGCAAAGTCACTGTTCAAAAAGTCAAGGAATATTCTTTTTTTAAAACGAGATTACGATTCTTTAACCGTGAGATAGTAAGAAATGCGAACAAAGCATTTTGAATAAAAGAAATTATTTTGTTACTGAAAATACAAAGTTTCATGTAATATTTTTTCATATAAAAGTTAAATTTCAACGTATGCAGTTTTAGGTCAGCAGAAAGTTAGAATCAGTGATGTTACTCAAGGTAAATGATCTTCAAAATTCTCTATCCACCAAATAAACATTAATAGAGCGACATGCAACAGTGTGCCGCTTTTTCATATCGAGACGTGGCACAGCTTTTGTGAGAAAAATTTGAAATAACTCTTAATATTTCAAACATTTATGTATGTATTATAATTACACATGAACGCATAATATGTTTAACGTTTGCAAAAATATAAGAACCAAATGCTAGCCTCGCTATATTTTTGCTTATACTACTCCTCAAATAGATTTTACAAACATGCTCAAAATGAAAATATTAATAAATCACTGCATTACTCTCACCTCTTCTCTTCCTCTGGCACTTCGATCAGTTGACTGTTACATTTCTGTCTGATTTCTTCATCGTCGGTATCCTCATCCGGATCGACGAAAACGAGTCGCGCGGCCTCTACAGGTGTGAGCACAGGTGTCGGCAGAGTGAGCGAACGGAAGTTTGGTACAGAGACTGGCTCCCTTGTCATGCCTCCGGCGTAGCTACAACCACCGTAAGCATCATTGTTGAGCAACGGCTCGATCATGCTCGAACGTTGGACATCGTTAAAACGTTGTCGTCGACGCGCCAATGTGTTGGCGCTACGTGACTTGACCATGCCCGTGGCTGGTTCCACTACCTCGATGTCGACCTGCTGAAACGGATAATACGAGTTTGCCTGAGCGCAAACTCATGCTGCGTCAGCTCTCACTCTCATTTAGCCAATTAGTTTAAAGGGAAGGAGGGGTGGGGGATCACTGTTCGCATCTTCAATGACACACGTGAAACTTTTTTGTTTGTAGCTAGATTGTATTTATTAATTAATTTAATGAAAACAATACTCTCGAGTTTCTCTAATTTTGAAAAAGGGCCATTTGACTTTAATTGTAAAATTTGCTTACAAACTATAATGGGCAAGTGCAACGGCCATTCATGCAAAGTAAATACGTTCGCCGAATCAGTACTTGCCTATGAAAATTGCACACAGCACAACATAAAAAAATCAAAGTCTCGATGGATCTCACCTCCTGCGAGCCATCGAATTCGGTGTCGTCGTGAGTGCCGAGGACAGAGTAACTATACTTGATAGGATGGCTAAGTCTAGACAGGTTGATCTGCGATAACTTGGAAATCTCACGTAGAAAGCTAGGTCTAGTTGGCGTTGGCTCGCACGGCGAATTTCGACCGTAGCCGTAACTCTTAACACGCTGATTTCTAATGCGAGGCCTGCAACTGACAGTGTTGCCATTCCCATTACCGTTTCCGTCGATGCCATTGCCACGGATGAGTAGTTCCGAGACTGCCAGCGCGACGCTTTCAGCGCGAGGTTGTGGTTTAGGGCCTGTTACACTTAGCTTCTCCCACGTTTCCGTTCCTGCAATTATGGATGAGATGTAGGATAGGCTGCTTTCGGACACTTGCGGCAACTTGATTGTAATGTCCTTGCATATTTATGACCAGCGGTTTCGCAATGTTCGCTCTTGGCAATAGTTCAAAAAATTAACGGTTGGATCGTCCTCATAAAAGTCATGATGGTCATTTGTCTCTTTTAAAAAACGACTTATTTTCAAATTCAATTATCGGACTCAAATTCATCTATAAATATACAAAACCTGCCAATAATAAATAGCATAATTTTTAAAAACTGTTCTAATGAAGATATTGTCATGAAACTTTTTTCACCTAAAAATACTTCGAATAAGTTTAAATTGTCATGTTTTCCAGTTTAAAAATTATGAATATACACCTCAGAAAGTCACTGTTAATATAACATTTTAGTTATTGAAAAGATTTAGCGCCGTATACAACTGTAAAGGTCAGAGTGAACGAAAATAATTTTTTTGTTTTGAAAGGAGAGATTATTTTAATATTTTTTAATGTTTAAAAAGTACTTTTACGATAAATTATATAACATTTTTTTAACGAAATTAAAAAAACTACATTTTTAAAAATGAAAGAATGATTTTATTGGAAAAAATACTTTTCTCGAAGTACGCATTTGAACCAATAAAATAAGCTCCTTAAATATGATTTTCATTCACTCTGATTTTCAAAGTCGCATACAACGCTATTTTTCAATAAAAGAAACGTTGACACTAAATTTTTTGGGCGTATATTTAAATTTTTAAATTCACAACCTTAAAAGTGAAAGTTTATTTCGAATACTTCAAGATAAGAAAAGTTTCATGACGATGTCTTGATTAGAATGGTTTTTACAAATCAACAAATAAAACTTTCAATTTTCATGGTTTAACATTGGCTAGTGATGTCAATGCTTTTGAAGATGTGAAAAACTCAAAGGGAATATCGACTAACCGAAATGAAACCTCCAGAGCTCGTTCGTAGGCGAGCCGTTGCTCTCGCCACCGAATATAAGCATACAGCTTGGCAGTCTACAAGCGGCATGTCCATGCAAAGGTCCAGGACCAGGTTTATTTCTAAGTAAGGCCCACGAAGAACCTTTGGCGTCCCAGCGCCAGCAGTCGCTTCGTTCCTGTAGATCCGTCATGCCGCCGTAAATGTACATTGCGTCACCGTGTAACACTGCTGAGTGCTTGTGTCGTGCTGGTGGCCCAGAGTCACACGACGACAGCAGGTGCCACGATTCTGTCTCTATTTGGTTGGTTTTCGTAAATTCAACACTGATTTAGTATGTGTGGATTTTAGTTACTAATTGATGCTATTAATTTAGTTCATTGCTCCGACTTTGTTGTAATTATGGGTGGTTAATTGAGTAATTCATTTTAACAATAGTTTCGTAAGTACTTTAATTCATTGTTTTCTCTGCTGGATTATTAAGTAATACAAATTAAGCTTGGTAAAAAAGGAAATTTGGGAATTGAAAGGGTCTGGTGTTTTGTTGAATAACAAAAGGGAATGCAATTAGAAGGCCTGAATTCGAAATGAGGTCGTTTACATTACTAATTAAAATCATGCAAGGTAAAGTAGAACGTTATTATTTTTTTATTTCATGAAGACGACTGTTTTAACAGGATAAAATTTCCTTTCTCGGAAGCATCATACGCAAAAGTGGAAATAAGAAAGTGAAAAATAAGCGAGTAAATATAGAAAAATGAATAAAGCATAAAAAAATATATAACGTGGTCACTTGCTATTACAGTCACGCTCAAACTTTCAATGGAAATGTGGCAGGTGTTGATTTTCGATTGAAATTACAGTATCATGAAGGCGTAAAATGTCTCACCGAAATGAAAAGCCCATAGCTCGGACGAGCTACCTCTTAAATCCTGATAGCCGCCATATATCAGCATCTGTCCGCGGTGCACAAGTGCGCTATGGCCACGACGACCTCTAGGAACTGCGCATCCTTTCTGTGCTCTTATTTTTTTCCACGCGTTCGTCTGGAAAAATAGACACGAGGCGAAAAGTTACTCATATAAACCTTTTCGATGTATATTCTTTATTTTTTTCTTTTCTTTCTTCGTACTTTAACCGAATAGCACCAGAGCGGGGTTTCGGTGCCAGCAGAGAATCCTAATTCACCACCGAAGACGTAAAGACAGTCCTTGTGGGCAACAGCACTGTGCTCTTGAAGCGCCGGTGGACGTTCCCCCGAGGGATGCAGCTCTTCCCATCTGCTCTCCGCTGCAATAAAAAATGAATGGTAATCCGGCAACCGATGAACTACGGCGTATGGAAGATCAGACAGACGACAGATTAAAGAGATTCTAGGAGGCAATTTAAATTTTACTTTTGTATCCGGGCTCTTGTATCCTCTTTATGAAATAACACGAGAGATCTGGTTTATGCATCTTATAGGATTTGTCTTCGAGTGAAAAGGATTTGATTATTTAATTTTCTGCAGCATTAAAAATTTGCCGTCATAAAAATAACAATATCAGTCTCCAACTTCAAAAAGAAATTTTTCTACCTCATAAAACGAATTCTGGTTGAATGAAAAAAAAAAAAACCAATATCGGTCAGTTTTATCACAGCTTTCAATACCCTGTACACGTCAAAGGCTTTCAGAAAACTCATGGTAAAAAAACCGTCAGATAACTTGGGCACACAATCTTCGAGCTGCAAGTCGCATCAAGGTAAGAAGTTAACGTCAGCTCGAAGTATATAACAGTTGCAAGCGTGGTAGCCGAGGCTGAAAATTGCCAGAAACAAGTGGAGAACGTGCTCAGCAACAAAAGCCAACACAGTGTCGAGTCACACTTTCGGTATTTGCTGGCGCTTGCACCGAGATAAGGCAGCGCTCGACTCGTCGTCGTCGGCGAAAAACTACTGAACCATGAGTGGGCTTGTCTCGTTTCCCGTGAGATTCAACCGATTCAATTCTTGTAGACACCGTACACTAGCAAACTTTGATGGGCTATTTCTTATTTCATCGCATTGTTTCAACTTTTTTCATGCTGTTCTTTCAAAATTTTATGTGACGTTCTTTAAAAGTGACATTCACTCATTATTTTGACTTATATTCTCACTTTGTCCATTATCAATTTTCGATTTTTTTTCGGCCTTCATTATTACTGACTATTTTTGGAAATGACTTGACACGTGGGGGTCAAGAGTTGTTAAAACTAAAATGCTTGATAACATGACTTTCAAACAGAAGGTCTCTTGTCCTGAAGACTTTGAGTGCTCAATTTTACGGCAGGGTTCTTAGATTATAAAAAAAGTATGTATGGCTTTCTCATTTTTAAAAATGTTTCCAACACATTTACATAAGAATTTCGTGTTTTACTAGTGATTGTTGAATAAGTTGTTGTGATTAACGAGATTACCAAACGTACATTCATTGAAAAATGTCATTGACTAAAGTACTTATTGCACAGTATAACAATTATTTCAAGCTGCAATTTTAATTTTCTACTTCCCCTTGAGATACTTCAGCAAGATGTTCCGTATTGGACGTCTAAACCGTTACACTCCAAGTAGTGCGCGTACTTACATTGAAAATCGCGGGATGCCTATTTCCGGGATAATTTATTCAATAAAACATGATCACAGAGTAAAGAGTTACGAGTTAACACGAAGCAAGAGAAAGAAATTGCGGGAGTCGGGTTCATTTGGATTTTTTACGCTTCTTGGCGCAGGCGCACACGTGCCCGCGCTTATTTCTTCGGCCCCTGGCATTGCGGCCGCGTTGTGGGTTACGGGATTTCGGGCAGTAGCCACAATTGCCAGTGCAATGAGTGCAATCGCAGCAAGCAGGCCGCGTCATGTCGATTATGTGATATTGACCGTCCGCTCGACGCTCTATCAGGCCAAACTCCTCGAAGCGCTTGAGGATCAGGGGCAACTGCGAAATAATGAGGCATCGTCAGATTTACTTGCTGACTGTATTCTGTTTGACTGCGATTTCTCTCTCCATTGCGCTATACATATATTTAGTCGAAATTGGAATTGAGAAGAAGAGAAGAAGCGATTTGCATATAGCGCCTGTATCTTTCAAGTATATATCTATTATCCATACCACAACATTAGATTTCAAATAGAAATGCTCATACAATTAATAACCTCCCTCTCTGAACTACGTTCATAGAATCATTTGTGGCAACAGCGCATTGATTTCAAGTACCAATGCAATAAAAGTGAAATAATCAAATTTTATATGAATAAAATTTTCAATTCAGTTGATGTGATCAAGATAACATTTGATTTTATATATTCCATATACAGCAAATGTAATATTACCTGAGCTTTGATAGCTTTCCTCAACCTTCTTCGATCCTCGATAACATATTTTAAAATTTTTTTCTCTGTCACATTGTTCAGTTTTTTCATCGCTTTAACCACTGATGGAACATTCAAATTTTGGGACTTCCGATTTTTTCTCATTGTTCTTTAAAAGAAATTTCACAAATGAGAGTTCAGTTAAATTGGTGAAAACAACAAAAACATAACCTGTACGGTGTATGTATTAAAAAGCGTTATTCGCGTCACTCGATAAAAGTCGACCCATTCATTCAACTTGTTCGTGTCGCATATAGCTTAAGCGATCTTGCAATTTTTCTCTTCCGCGAATACCCAATTCATATTGCGAGCAACAACAGCATGCGATTTTATTTTGACAACATTTTAGCCTCGAGTGACAGAATGCAATCACCGTTCACACTGACACCGCGTTTGTAAAGCTCTTTTTTTTTTGGTTGACGTTGCATGATCGCAAGAGTATTATCAACTTTGTCATATCGTTAAATGCTTGTGTTTTTTTCCTTATTTTACCTTTAAATTCTATTTTCAATTGTAAAAAAGTTAAAATAATCTATATAGAACGCGCGCGAGCAATGGAATTTATAAAAATTGCTCCAACTCAATATTTCAAACTAACGTTTCGGCGATCAATAACAGCGAACGTGTTTGCATTCATATTCAATGGAATAAATTGGTGACCCGGCAAAGAGGCATCGTTTTTGTTCCTGCTAATATAAACGTTTCATAAAAATTCAGTATTCACGAAAACAATGCATGTTTTAGCTCTGATTACGTTTTACTTTTGTTTCTTCCCCTCATCGGCAAAACATATCAATGATGCATCATTTCATTCCACTCTCTCTCTCTCTTCGTGTCTACAGCAATTCAACGTAAATAAGATTAGCCTAACCAAACTGTTACGGGAGACAAAATGCACGAAAATGATTTCGTCGATCTAACGAACAACATATCTTGGCAATCTTCGAGGACCAGAGGTTTTCCGAATGTATCTACACGTTCAACCTCTCAACGAATACCATATGCCTCCTCCCCTTATAATCATTTTCTCTCTTGGGGCTCCCTCGCATGCGAATAAATCACCACGTCTCGTACGAAAAATAAATATGTCGACGGAAATCTTTCGGCCGTTCGTAATAAGCCAAGTATATTGGATTATCTTGCAAGGAAAGTTATTCTGGTTCTCCAATAAAAAGTGGTAAAAAATTATTGCAGCTGATACCGCGCCTCTGTCGCTGTCATTCGCTCTTCCGAAATGTATAATAGAGCATTCAACCTGATGTATTGGATAATTATGCGGGAAAAAGAAAATTTCTGTTTCATTTGATATGCATAACCATACACTCGCAGCCGGATGCTCATTCCATCATTTCTGACTAATCTCGACTGCAATACCATGTAAATGAGGATGCATAAACCATCACGATGCGGAATGCAGAACTTGAAAGGAATATGCTGCAGGAATAAATCATATTGCACCGACTATTTGCATAAATTAACGGCGCCGAAAAAAGTATGTGCATTTAAAAAGAAAAAATTAAAAAATTTATTAAAATTCATTTAAAAACAAAATTGAATTGCGTTAAAAACAGCATAAAGATCTGAACGAATAAAGCTCATCAAAGTCTTGCTCCGCGAACAATCAACAAAACTTTAGCGCTTTCCTGTGACGAGCTTATAAATAAACTTACCAGTGCTTAGCCTAGTGCTCGGCCAGCCATGAATATGCAAAATATACTTACCAAGACTGTAACGCCAGAGATCCTTGAGCGGAAGATTGCCATTACGACCGCCGAGCAAGTAGACGTGTCCAGCGAGTAGAGTAGCACTGTGCTTACTTCTGGAGGGTGGCGCAGGTCCGTTTTCTACTCCGGCCGCCGTCACCGAGCTCCACATCGTTTACAGTCTGCGCTGTAACGGAAATTGCAATCAATCTTACGTAAAGTCGATCGATTTACACGACGACGCAAAGTCTCAGTACATGTAAACGTAGTTGCGTAACAATACAGCTTAGCCTGCATGCTTTTCGTGCCTTGGAATAGCGTCGCGACGTGTTTAATTATTAGAGGGGCAAATTCAATTTCAGCAATATGACTCTCTTGCACAGCGACGCTCACGTGCGCGCGCGCGCGCCTGATCTGATTAGATCTGCAAGTTTTCCATTGTCCACAAGAAGTTAGCTCATAAACGCGCACTTGACTTTTGGTGATTGCTTATTTAGTTTGATGTTTTTACAAGAATTTTTCAAATTTAAGAAACCACAATATTCGCTGATAAGTAATTTTGTCCTTTGTAGCTATGAAGATGCTGTGTCTCGAAGGAATTCCAGTAAACACCAACAGTTGGAATTGCAGCGAGCAGAGACAGATAGAATTTTTCTCAGCGAGAAAAACATTCCACAACCAATCCGAACGATAAGCTACTATATATTATTCTCAAACCCGGTCTCTATCGCTCTGTCTTCTTAGCCCTCTTGAAAACGTAGTACTTTAATCAGAGAACGCCACGTACGGTATATAAGAGCAAAGACAAGCACGCGCGCTCACCAGATATAATTAAGAAAGAACGGAGCATGAGAGACGGCGCCGCGGTGGCGAATGAGTTTTCACTCGAGTGCTCGCGCAAGAAACCTTATTCAAGGTAGCCTGCTCTTGCCATTCAGTTCACGACGCTACCCGAGATTGAGGTATGTATTATTCTCGACCACCAAGATTCGTGCGAGGATTACCTCCCTCTTTTTTTTTCTAACCATCGCTAATTGCTTCACTTTCTTGCGAGCAGACGTGCGTGCACGCGTCGTCGTGCTCGCTTAGCCACCACTTTATGCTCATGCGTGTTTTCTTTTTGTGGCTTCAGAGCTCATTTTTATAGAGAGAAACGACCCTCGGTGAGCAACGTGATGCACCGCTGCATGAGAAAAATTACACAATTGCGGGCTTGAGCCCTTTAAGTAAGTTAATATCGTGAAAGTAAATATTGTCTTTTGGCGACACGACACTGCGCTAACTGCTTGTTGGTGAGCAACGATCGCATAGACGCCAATTGCGTGAAGCTAACAAGTTATGTGTGCATGCTCGCGGCTCATGTTTCACTATAAATTGGCTAAAGTTTGCGAAGGGGCTCACACGTCGTCAGTTTCATCCTGCGGTCATGAGTGAGCTTGATAAATAACACTCCTATAAATAATTGCTCGAGAGCTTTAGCGCAACACTCGCCAAATCCCTAATTACCCTGTCACATTTAATTTGTCGTCTTGAAATCAGATTAAGATTTTTATATCAGCTACTTTCAACTGGAATTGATTACAATTTATTCTTGAGACTGTATGTTTACTTTTGCGATTGGTTAATGCGTCACGGCTGACCAAACTTGACTTTTACTACTTGATCTCCGCCATTGATCATGTCGTAAAAAAATAAAATACGATTCATAACTACATTTCAACTTTCGATCACGAAAGAGACATGTAATGGAATAGGAAACGCTCGGTAAATAAGTGAACAAACACGACACGTAAATCCACTCCAAATACGAATGCGTGTACATTATAATATATATACTCGTAAATGTAGTAACATCCATCTTGGGCGCGCGTTATGCCGTAACGAATACATCCCGTACTGGAGACAGCCGTAAGCTCGTGCAAAAGCACAAACTCGGAGACGTCAGACTAGTCGCGAAAGCTCAAGTGGTCGAGAGCATTACTTACGACTCATCGGCGAGCGCGCTTCTTCGTACGTGTTTGTCGAAGCGCAAACCTTTCGTATGCTGTAAGCTCGGGGTGTGCGAACTCTTGCGCGCGCTTAGAAAAAGAAGATGAGAGTGAAAGCTCGAAAACGACGGATAAACCTCTCTTTTTCCCTCCCTCCCTCCCTCTCTCTCTCTCTCTCTCTCTCTCTCTCTCGCTGGAATGGCTTAGTAAGTTTATATTGATATTTCACGTGCAACTTTTCATTTCGGACACATGAGGATTCATTTTGAAGTTTGCCGTAGGATTTTCAACGAGTCGAGTCTTTCGAATAGACTTCATGGAATAAATGTAATTTTGATGGCGAGTTCGAAAGTTTGCCATGTTGAGAAATGTAATACAGAGATTGATAATATTACTATCACATCAAAAGACAGATGAATTCGATCAGATACACAGCCGGATACCGCAACAAGTAGTACAAACAGAATATGGTAGGACAGAAGTCCGGATCTCACACTGTATTTATTGTTGAAAAAGTTTTACAAAGCTGCGATGAAAGTTCGTGAGATAAAATAAAATACGGAAAAAAGAAATAATAATACATCAGAATACGTCAGCGGCACGTTTGACCCACGACGAAAAGGTTTAATAAGAGACGGAAAAATAAGGTCGAGCTGCGTACTCTGTGGGTCTTTGCACGCGCGTAAGCCCCGCGGCCGTAGACACTCAAGAGAGAGCGAAGCAGCAGCAGCAGCAGTAGCAGCAGCCCTAGCTATCCTCCTCCCTCGCAACACACACACCTGTCCTCTTTGCCACTCCTGTGAATACGTTATAAGAGAGAGGGAGGTTATTTAATAGGTTTACCCGACTCGCTCTCATACTGGCAGTAAAGTTTTCTATCTCGTTAAAGGCGCCGCGACTGCTGACCCACATGCCGCACACCGGAGAACCGAGTATTCAGGTATATAACACCGATTAATCGCAGCTTTAAGCGTCCTACGTGCTGTGGCTTTCTCTACCTCGATTGTAAGCGTATTTGTATAAACGTAGGTATACTCGCGATGAAGAGAGAACGCTGAGAGCGCGCCAAACAGAATGAGGCGACTTGCTTTTGCATAGTAACACGGAAACGAAGAAAAAAGAAACACCACCCGAACAGGTCTTCTTTTCATAGCTAGCTGCAGTCGTCGCGAGAATTTTGATTAAAATTTTTCGCGCTCGCACGGCATCTGAGAGGGAAACTTGTTTTTAGTGGGCAAAAGAAATACCTAGTGCCGTTGCGAGCGAATATTTTTTAGGTCAGATGTGAAGTTTTGAAGGATTGCCTTTTTCTTTTTATCCGCGTGATACGACGTGAAATCAAGTGCCTATGAAACTGCGGTAAATGCGAATCATTACAGCCTTAAATTTTCGAAATAATTTTGCAAGGACAAAATAGATGCATCTCTCGCATTGAAAATATTACTAATTTTGTCGAGATATAACTCAAGTTTGAAAGCATTAATTTTTAATAATTTATCACCCGTGAGAGATCTCGTAAACGATTGTAGAACAAAACCGACGGAGTTGCCAGGAAATAGCAGCATTTCAAATATTTGGTATGTCGAATTGCAGCAGACACTCTGGTACAGTTGTGCGATAACTAGGTTGGAAATTACGTCAATCACAACCAATATTGTACCAGTACTTTCGACTTCTCTCTTTCGGTCATACAGGAAATTGATTAATTCGCAAAAAACTATTCAGATATTATATTTCTATATCTTTGCAATAGGGTAATGGTTAAAGGAGAAAATCTTCACTTTACTTCTACCTAGAATAATTTCTTTAATTTTTTCAGATCCTAATTATATAACATAAGAGAAACATTCAATTTGTAAGAATCGAAAGAAAACCTCAAAGGTTACGTTTGAATCACATTCTCAAACTTTCAACTACACAACGTGCCACGTATAAGCTTGGACTTTTCTTTATCAGAGATTAAGTAAATTAAGTGCAACGATTCGGAACATGCAAGCCACTGCAAAGTGCTAAAAATTTAAGTAAACCCGTATTACTAATCATATACCTATGATAGATGATGAAAATATGAAAATTAATAAAGACAATAAAGACATGAGTATATTGAAAAATATTTTATTATTGAATATAGCTATGAAAAGATTACGTGATCTTATAACTCCGATGTTAACAAGAAAAAAATATAGCGTACTTGAAGAAAGTGTAGGCGAAAATTTATGAGCTGATAACATGCAACTGACCTTACATCATTCATACTTTTCGTGAATATGCTCTACACATGTTTCAGGCTTACTTTATCGTCAAATCTCACACGATTATATCCCGTAAATTAATGTCGTAGCTGCATACACGAATACTTTGTGCACGCGCTCCAAAAAATAATAACAAATGTCATTTACAAAGACAAAGAATTATGAACATAATAATGTACGCGCATGGAACAAACGAGTACATACCAAGCACAAATAATGCATTCATTAAAAGTCAGCGGCGTGTTAAAGCAAGCATTCCCCGCGCGAAATTCCTTGAGTGCGCGTTGATATAGTCGAGGGAGCAACGCATCCAGTTGCATAGGAGGCCTATTATAATAACGAAAGAGAAAGACTTTGTAGGTACATCAAAAGGCAAAAAAAAAAGATACACGCAAGAGCATTTTCCCGTGAGTCTGGTTGCGCGCGCGCACATCCCCGTATAGCGCGACACGCGACATTTTAGTCGCGTCCCCTCCTTGTTTTGCACGAGATAATGCGCGATCATAGAGATGTGTGTGTGTGTGTGCGTGTGCGCGTGTGTGTTGACGGGGGAGAGACGACGACGGCGAAACAGCCCTCCGCGGTTTTAACACCGATTGCCAAGAGTGTTGTAGTACGTAGTGATGGTGGTAGTGCCTTTAGGGGTGCCTCCGGCAGGATAGACGTTATCGACTTTTTAAACATCGGCGCGGGAAGCAAGTGTACATCCGCAGCATTTGCATCTTGTCCCGGGAAAGGCAGGATTTGTTGCGCAAGGAATTTCAATGTGCGGCTGTACGCACAGCAGCGCCTATAATCGAATTCGAGAATAAATTTCCCTTAGGACGATCGGGAAAAAGAATCGTTTCTTCGTTGCTGTCACTTGAATATCGGCTTATCGCTTTGGTCATTTTCGGACGGCCGACTCCCCGATCTCTCTATAGTCTATCTTTCTCTTCGTCTTTTTTCTATTGAAATCGCCGGATAATACTGCCACTGGTTTTCAATGTTGGGATGGGGTGGACTATTCGATTGACAAAATTCAATTTAGTGAGAAAATCGACAGAATAGAATTCTACAGTGTAAAAAATTTTTACGATAACGAATTATAATTCATTATTATTTATCTTGATTTTATCGTGCGTCTTTTCGACGATTAGTAAATATACGTCTCGGAAGATATTAGATATTAAATGTATCAGCTGATATTGGCATGAAATTCTCCGTGATATATTCTTTGTAAACTTATGTAAATGTGTTTTGAGGTGAATGAGAAAGTACAGTTGTGATAAAATTTCATCACCGATTTTTTATTATCACTGTATCTATCTATGCTTACCTCGATAAAAATAATTATGACTGGACAATGTAAAACCCAGATATATTCCTAGCTATACTTCACCTCTATGATTTACAATGATAGCAACGATTTCAACAAAATTAATCAAAAGCATAAATAACTCATAATCTATCGTAATACATTTCAGCGTATAGCACTATAGGAGCGATAAAATAAATAAGATTTGCGCGTTAGTTCAAGAAAAAAAGGGCCACAAGTGTGCGATAAGCAGCGCTCGGTAGAACGATAAATCCAGACAGGCAGTAATCGCGAGACGTCAATCGATCAGCGTCTGCGAGAATCAACACACACAGCCATTATTCCCAGCGCAGCAGCAGTTATAAATATCCGAAAGTCCTAAAAGGGGACTAACGAACAAACTTATGCAGAAGCTAAGCCATCAATATTAATGAAGCGCCTCATTGTTTCGTCGATAGGTTCAGGACTGGGGGAGGCAAAAAGAATTCCCGGAGGATAGCCGTAGAATTGTGTCACGTGGCCAAGTGTAATTATTAATATGTGCAAGCCGCCGAGAGAGAAAGAGAGCCTGCAATAACGAAGATGCGTGGTTGGTCCGCTTCAATAATAAATCCCGTTACACGGCGAAATCAAACGCAGCGGCTTGCCGAGAGAGAAAGAGAGAGAAAGAGGAAGGGATACGGCCGCGCGAGAGGGTGAAAGGACGCGTAAAGGGGGAGAAATTAAGAGCGCGCCGACGAGAGGGAGAGTAAAAGAATTTTTTTCAAAATGGAGAGCAGTTTTGTACGCGTTCTCTCACTCTCTCTCTCTCTCCCTCTCTTTCGAGTACTACTGGGGGGGGGGGGGGGGGGACTCCGCTAGAGCGTGGTTATCGCAAATCTGTTTTGTCCGCTCTTTGTACTGGGGTGGTAAACTTTTTTCCGTTTTCTCTTTGTATCTGTTTGATTGTTGGCTGCCGGATATAATGGCTATGTTGCCATTATTTCAAGTGCTTACGCCATTTCATTCTCATGATTTCCAAGCGTTCTAGCAATTTTTTTTCAATTATTGATTCCACAATTGAAACAGCTCTTGTGTAAAGGTGGTAATATGCAATCAAGTCAGTCATGATTAACAGCTAAATCTGGACCAATAATAATTACGTTGACAATAGTAGATAAACGTATAATTAGAAATAATTGATCGAAGTTGGTGTTTATTAATTCAGGTGAATCAAGAGAAAAATTATTATTAATTCACAGTTGAATTTCTACTCTAGATGTCAAAATTATTCATTGTTGCAAAATATTCTGGCTCATTCAAGATAAGTTATTAATAAATTTGTGACAATAAATTATCTATGCAGTGCAATTTTGAGCATGCCTAAATGACTTAATTCTCCAAACTTCTGGTAATAAGTAATAATCATTCAAGACAAAGAATCAAAATATATACATATAAATGTAAATAAAAGAGAAAAATTTTCGATATGTATATAAATGATCAGCATTTTACTGTACCATAAATGATAATTACAGTAACGTATACGAACAAATCATGCCATTGAAATTTGTAACGAATATAAGTTTATTTGTGTCAGTAGTTTGAACCGCTATAATTCGAAGATAACTCCTCATTCATTAAAAGTTCACGTTTATTAAAGTACCAAACCACAAGAGTTTCCCAGAATCACCTTGGGAAGCGAGTAGCATGGGAGCTTCATTGAGTATTCAATTCGACGGAAAGCACCCAATTGCAAAGATAAAACAACTGGAGGGAAACGAATGAAAAGCGGGCGAATATGAAAAAAAGTGTTGCAAAGCCAAAACACTTGCAACTCATGTGAGAGAAAAATTATACAAAGGGAAGAGAGAATTGAACGTGCAAACAAAAAAATTGAAACGCGAAACCGGAGCGAACGCTAGAAAACAAAGCTATGTTTACTCATCGTATGAATTCGAGAGGTGCTCTTTCATTATTTCTAAAGAGAATGAAAACAGATGGTTTTTTTAAGGACAACCTAAGTATTATTTAGCCAGATACTCACATTTCTCTAATTAACATTTTCTCATTCATAGATGTGTCATTTGTTTGATAATGAGCTAAGCGGATCTCGAAGCCCTTTGTGAATTTCAATAGATATTCAAATCGCATTAAATTCAGGTGAGTTGTCTCGTTAGAATTACGTGCAACAATGACATCAAAACAGAATGGAACTTTATTCCTCAAAATGATCATTACGAATTATCAATTACCTTCATCAAAACTACCAAATTAATATTTCGCGAACTAGTACTACAAAGTAAATGCAACAAAGGAAAGCATCACTAATATAGAAAGGAACTCTCGTACTCCCTTTTTGCCGGCTTGAAAAGAAACTTTTTGGTAGTTGGTAAAAGGCTTTTCTCATATAATCGGTTTAAAAAATTCGATTCCCAGCACTCTCCCTCTCTCTCTCTCTCTCTCTCTCTCTTTCTCTACCTCAATTTCACCTAGAAGTCTTCTTTCCATTTCTGCAAGCGAAGAACAAAAGATCTCATGAAAGAAAAATTGCACAAGTACGGGGAAGGAAAATAGAAAAGAAATCAATGTGATCATGGAAGGCAAAAAAAAAACATATTGGAGAGAGTGAAGTGATGACAGTAGATAATAGTGTCGTATATACAGATTCCGAAAATAGAAATTGAAACATTGAAGTCTTCGATTGGCTGTGGATATAGAATATATTTCGCCATTAGCCTTCTCTGTTTTGCTCGTGCACTCAGTTACAGATCATTGCTAAGTTATCAGAAATGAAATATATGCGGAGATGCTGTGACGAGGGAGAAGAGAAAGAGAAAAGACCTACGAGAGAGAGAGAGAGAGAGCGTCTGCAGAGAAGAAAGTATAGACACATATACAGGAATGTCGACATCGAGGCAGAAAGCACGCGATCCGCAGAGACAGTGTCGTGCGTTCAGAGCGTGTAGTTGCGCGTGCAGAAGGGCAATAAAAAGCAAAGCGATTGGCGGTAGTCGGAAGTCGCAGGTTACTTACGTGGTGTCGTTTGGTGGACCGAGGGTGGCGTTGCAGTGTCAAAGCTACAACAACAGTTGCGCCAGCGACCACATTCTGACTAGCAGCGGCAACGGGGCATTGCACTGCTAGTCGGTATTGCCCAGCTGCTGACTGATTGTGTGTATACCGTGGGATCTTGACACACTCGGCAAGCGAGCCTCGAAACGCTACGCTGTGCTGTTTACGGGCGCTCCCGCGTCCTCGGGCGCACTGTACATTCAAGGTATAGAGCCGCAGCAGCAGCTCGTGCAGTGGCAGTAGCAGCAGCAGCAGCAGCAGCTCCGGGTCACAGAGCAGCGCACGAGCAACAGCGAGGGAAGCTCGCGTGCGTGCGCATCGAGGCCTCGACGCACGCGCGCCACCTTGCAACCACCCCCTCTCGGTCCACCCACACGCGCGCACCAGCTCCACAGAGACAGAGTCACTGCTCTCCCCGTCTCTCTGTGTAGCCACGTAGACGACCACCCGACAGGGAGTTGACGAATATTCGGCGTGATGCATAGCCTCGTCCCGTGGACTGTCGCTGCTCTGCTTGCACTTGAATGCTTCTGATGGGCTTTGATTATAGAGCTCGAGAGTCAGCTAGAGGGGTACTTTTTTAATTTAAGTAGGTGATTAATTCAAGATAGGTTGGCTTTAACAAGTGAGCTTGATTAGGGATATTGATTAAAAATTTCGTTAACTACAATTGTTTCACAACAACATTTGTGCCCTTGAGTTTTTTCAACCATTTTTATCTGAACAAAAAAGCCGAATAATCTCCGGAATATAAACGTCGACAGACTTTCTTTGTGGTATTGAGCTTTATAAAGCCAACATTTTTAAAGCCACAGTTCATTTGCACTCTGCGCACATTAATCTTCGGTCGAGCGTGTCCGGTTGAAACAATATTTATGGCGTTTGTATACTTTTCACAGCCATCCGATTCTTTGTGTTATCGTGTCGTCAGAAAAATAAATGTTGGAGAAGTATTTTTTAACCTCCTAAATGGCAAATATTGTTTTTACGCCCGAATAGCTCTTGAATTTTAGTGAATGTTAAGCGAGCAAGTTCGATCATTCCGGTTCGTCCAATTATCTCCCGCCAAGGCCTCGTCGCGCCGACAGGAAAGACAGAATTGCTCGCGGTGTGATCAGAGTCCAGCAGAATATACTTTTTTTGCGTTACTGATGAAATTGGACTCCTTTATGTGAAAATGAATTTTTAGTTTTTCACAGTATAACCACAGTATAGTTAGTTACGTTATAGCTTCTTCTTCGTTCTACAATTTAATAAGTATAAAAATATAATATAACCTCGATGTGAACCCGAGATTTCAATAGAAAGCACTTCTATAGAATCGGTAAAATAAATTTTATTTTCATTCCACTATAAATAATCGCGAGCGTATTCGCACACGCGCACATAGAGTATCGCTCGACATACAACGATTCGTCGATCGGATAGTACGTATAGACGCACATGCAGACAAGTGGACACAAGAGGCTCGCATATGTATTCGCAAGCGGCATACGGAGCCAACCCCTCTTTGCAGCACGTGCTTGGCCGCAATGTCTATTGGTGTGGCGTACGGCTCACGTGTTTATAACGCGGTGCCGAGCAGCAGCGCTCGGCGACATATATTAATTCGACGAGCTGTGCACAGCACCTACCGTGCCATGCATTCCGCGAGCCGGTAAACTTTCATAAGTTTGCGCGATCGACATTACTGTACGGCTCGTAATTAAATTGTCCGTGACGCACACGCGTACGTACCTGACCATACTTGCGCTCTAGCCGAAGTTTGTACAGTAAATCGACTCGGAAAATCCTATATAGCAGCTTACAGCGGATTTGTTTGTTGATAGAAGGAGAGAAAGAAAGAGAGAGAAGAGGGTTTCCATCCCTATATGGACGAAACACAGCGGCACCGAGTTCCCTGGTGGCCCATTTATTTTTAACTGCTGTGCTGCTGCTGCATCGTTGCTACATACGCTTATGAGATCGTTGGGAAATAGACGCGATACTGCAGCTACCGTCACTGCATGGAAAACTGGGCAACTGGGTCTCTTTTCCTGTTCCGTCTATTTACGAGCTTTTGTACCAAGTATCAATACTCGTAACATTTTAGATTCTTTCAACACACACATACGGGCGCGCGCACACACACCTGAAATTAATGTAGGTTATACTGTCAGCGAGGAATGCAAGATACGCATGAATTATTAACACGTCCGAGATGATAGCAGCGTGATATGTGGTGACGCAATTGCATAGCTGCAGAATATCAATGAAAGTTTAAAAGTCGCCACAAGGGCGGAAAAAAAATTAAAAGTCGTTCGATCAACAGGCGGCAACCAACGACGAGTTAAACGAACCTTCGTAAAAATTCGTATAAAGAGAAAACGCCTGCATATCGATGTAATAATAATAAGATCGCCGTACGTAGCACCCTCCAGTACGTTCGAGGGCAAAAAGTGGGCCAAAGTCTGTATCGAAAAGCTGGCGCGTCATTTTGCGTGAACGAGAGTTGTTTGAGCGTAGAAACCCTTCGGAAAAAAGTGTCCGTGGCGCATTAAAAATCCAGCCGGGCAATTGAGAGAGCAGCAGAGTGTAGCGCGATCATCCCTTGAATCCCGTTTCATCATCGAGGCTCGAGCGCGCTCGAAAAAACCGTATACGTGTGCGCGCGCGCGTGTACGTCAGCTGCGCGCCTGCGCCGTTGCCAAGCCGACCAGGGGAGAAGAGTAAGCGCGCGCGTGCAGATATGCGTATTGATTGCTCCCTAGCTCGCTGGCTTTCCAGCTGTGATGTCTCCACCGCGAGAGAGGCGCCTCTCCCTGCGATGCTCTTTTTTTTCTCTTGCGCTTCGTTCGTTCATTCCATCCCCAGGCTTTTGCGCCATCGCGCGGACACCTGGCGATTGTAACTGCTAAAAGATGGAGACCGAAATTTCGGATATTAGACGCTTAATGAGCTGTGACAAAGTCGTGCGAACGGTCGAACTTTATTTTTAGATTTATCGACGATCTCGCCCTCAGTGAATGATAGCTGTATTGTAATTGAAATATTTCCGAAACCGCGAGCATCCGCAGTTTGGAGTTTAATTAACTGAGCACGACTTTTACGCACGCGAACTTACAATTAGCTGTGATTCTTCACGTACACGTACCACTGCACAACTGACTTGTACGGCATTTTCTTCTAAATATAACTTTAGCTCAATCAAATTATCTCTTATGTACGAACTTATTGGTTCAAAAAAGTTCCTACCTTATGTAGATGCATTGTCAGCACTTGAATGAGTGGCAATTCTACAATGCGTTAGTCTTACTACTAGTGTATATAGTGATGAAATTGTAATTTTATGTGGGCTTAATTATCGTGTTCTTTATGTGTTATTAAAATTTTTCAGTAACTATTTCTTGAAAAAATCTGCTGTTAATGGCATAATAAAAAACATTGTTTAAGTTGAATTTAGTTAGGATTACATTTTCTGTACAGTAATGAATTCCTATAAAAATTTCAGACTGCTAATAATTTGAAATTAAATAAATGTTAGCTTTTTCTGATGGGAAACTAGATATCAAAATATCTATGCAAAGAATGCCAGTTTTCTTTAGAAGAGAACACGCCGCAATTATAATTATCTGGTTCTTTCAAGCAAAAAACATTTGTTACTTTGATACTACTACTTTTCGTAAATCCCCTATTTTTTCGGTTTGCACAAAACTGTTGTTGATCCTGCAATAACTTTTTATGAAATAAATAAAATAAACCGAAAAACAAATACCAAGCCATATTTTCGAAAATTACTCTCTTTACCCCTGCCTCATCTGTGGACTATGAAAAAGAAACAATTGGGTCCACCCTCTGTTGCCCGTACTTTTTCATTTCTCCTCGGTCTCTAAGCATCCAAAAGCCTTGCTCTTGCGTCCCATTCTATCTCTCTCTCTCTCTCTCTCTCTTTTCTCCTCGAGAAACGCGTATACAGCATGCCTTTTTTTTTCTCTAGACTTATTTCCCCTTACTGACTCCCTTTTAGCGGCAGGAAAAATTCGCCTCTCGCGAGGCTTTTTCCTCGTCGTCGCAGGCAGTCGTCGAATTACTCCATTCCATTCCAAAAGACAAAAAAAGGCGAGACACTTGCACTTGCGTCCCATCACACATGGTGTGATGATGACGACTAAGAGCATCCAAGCGAAGCAAAGTTCTACGACGCTCCTCTTATCTTTTTCTTTCTCACTTTCCTTCTTTATAGACACGCTGTTAAGGCGATTGGAGCTAATCGAAGAAGGACGTGTCGGATGAGTATGTGGTGCTCGTTGTAGGCTTTACACGAATTTTCTTTGAGTGGCCTCTTCCGGGTTAGTGCGTCGCTATTCCGAAAACGTAATCCCTAACGTCGAGGAGTTCTCGCGCTGGGATTTCACCAAGGGGACGCAGATCCGACGAATTGAGATTCCAGGTGGTAACCCAGCCATGCGAGAGAGATAGACTCTCGCAATGTTATTTTACCAAGGGATAAGTCTTGTTATAGCAGGCCAGCCCGACTAGACCATTAGTCATCAACGCACGAAAATTAATGTCCCTTTGTTTCTTCCTTGCAGTGTGTTAATAGATACTTGAATGTACGAACATGAGCGCTTAATGCTTCCTATTATATTTTATCTTCTGCACGTTAGACGTCACAAAAGTAATTCGAATTAACTTACAAACAATTAATCAACGGGAAATATACACGTATATTTTCTAGTTACCAATATATATTAGAATGAATAAGAATTGATCTCACTTTTATAGTGCTTTTACTCAATTCAAATTTGTTTTCATATTTTACGAAGTCTTAGAACTATTGCGTCGATTTAAAAAATGTAAGAGCTTATTTACTTCTCTCCATCGCACAAATTTCATCCCGCTTTAAGTATTGAAGATACAAGAGGGTAAAAGCTCGCGAGAGTACGTGGACGCAGATCGACTTCTTCAGCGACGATGAAACAAAGCAGCTGGTACAGGGTGAGCAAATGAAGGTTTAAAGTTCGGATGCTCGGATCGTTGAGAAAAAAAAGACCAACGTCCAGTCATGCATGGAGAAAGTTTCTTTATCGCTGGCACGTGAAAGTTGTAAAAGTAGCGAGCCACGAGGTTGACTTTGAATAATAAACAAAGAGTGGCTGATTCAATTTTCCCCCGAGGATGTGGGGGTGCATGATTGTACGATTGAAAAGTTTTAGTCGCGGAGCCCTTGTATGCAAGTTCCTGTGTGGATGGTAGTAAATTCGTAAAACTTGAAACTTTTTCGTCCAAGAAGCGTGTGAGCAGTAAAATTTTTAATTGAATTTATCACTAGCACGAAAAGTTTTTATCTCTCTATCTCCCCTGTAGGAAGTTGAAATACGATCTTTTAGAGTGCTACCGCATTGAACTGCGCTTGAGTATCCGAGGAAATATTATCAGATAACCTTTCACGTGAATTGCTATAGTATTTGAGTAAGCGTTGCTGACGTTTCAAATCAATTTTCCTGTAATTGTAATAAAACACGCAGCAAAGTAATTTTCGACGTTACTAGTTTGGATTGCTATCGTGGGCGAACCTTTCAATTTTGAATTACCACTTAGTAGTTTCTCAGTTTACCCGGAGTTGGAAAATGGTTGGAAGGTTTTATCATAGTGGAGTAAGTCGAACCACAAGGATCGACGTCTATAATGCATGCATGCAAACAGCTAACATCGACAGTCCATCCTAGTTACTAGAAAATTTAGATCAACTACGATATTACCGTAGTATACAAGAGATCTAACAATCTATTTTTAACTCTAGTGAAATTTCTAAGGACGGCTTCTTGACTGAGTTTAAAAACAGCAAACAGAAACTCAGAGAAAAAATATTTTTAATAAGCGACGCGTCGTCTTCGTAGCAAGTGTTCTTATTTAACTCACAAAATTCTAATTAAAATGAGTCAATCAAGAAGTTAGCAAAGTTTAATCAATAAAAACCATGTAAACACAATATAGCAGGCTACGGAAAATATTAGCTTTAGTCAACAAGCTCCTCTGTGTGTACGTGTTATATTTACTTTGACGGGGAATCGATGTAACCGCTAGAACGTTAAGAAATGCTACTTTTCTTGTTTCGACTTATCTATTACACTGCGTAAAATATATTTTCCGCAACTGCTAGAAAGAAATTGGAAACGAGTTATTGAAAGTGAGCACTGCAAAAAAATTCCATTTTGCAAGTCATTCACTGCACTTTTAATTCATGCACCGTCAAAGGGAGCTCTCTCAAACGAAAAACAAAGCAGAGAAAAAGGCCCTCTCTCTCTCTCTCTCTCTCTCTCTCTCTCTCTCTCTCTCTCTCTCTCATACGGCGTCTTTGTCACTCGCGCGTGCTCCCTGTAAACGCTCGACGCCGAGAGCTTTGTACGTGCGCCCATGTATATTAACGCGCTCGAAAGCTCTCTCCCATATCGTGGTCGAGCGTCAATCACGATGGCCAAACGATGATTCGACCGCAACAGCAGCGGCCGACCCCCCCCCCCCCCCCAAATCCTTTTGTGTTTGATATTTTTCCTCCAATTTCTATGAATCCGAGCGTGCGAAGAATCGAAAAAAAGCTTGACCGACGAATAAGGCTAGATATTACAGTTTCTTTTTGGTCATGGAGCTAGTCGGTGCATCGCATGGACACTATCTACATTGTTCAAAAAAGTCACTCGTGCGTTTCATTCTTTGCACATATTCACGTTCAACAAAGACCTCGAATATCAAGTAGCTCAACAAGATGTTGCACAGTTACTGACCGCATGGTAGTTATAATTTTCTGCATAAATTAACTTCCTGATTATATGATTTAAATTCAAACGTGTGTCTAAATTTTGTAAACCCAGCTTAGTTCCTTGACATCATAATTAAATTAGCTGTAGTGCAATTTTCGCAAGCTACGAAATTTCTTCCAATGATGCATGCTCTAGTGATAACATATAATGCTAAATAAAAGTTTAATTGGAGTATGTATTTACTAAAGATCAGACACGTTCTTTAACTTATATGAAGTTGATAATTATATAACTAACAGTGAATAATATAAAATAATTTCTACGAAATACTCTGCATCAAAGAAACTGCCCAATAAAATGCGATGATACAATACTTTATCAATTAAATAAGATAAATGAATGTTTGAATGAATAAGATGAGTAGTAAAATCTATATCTGATTTTAATGTGATAATTTTTATATTGGAGGATGTACGTACCACCTGAATGTAATGCATTTGAAAACATATTTACATAGTTTTTATTAACTTTACCAAATAATAAGAATTAATTCTTAATACAATATAATATATTTTCATAGTATGTTTGATCATGGCGTTCGAAAAAAATAATGCTAAGTGAAAATTCCATCAATATTCAATCTACTCAAAATAAATTCACGTTTGAATTCGTACAAATAATATCCGTTAGAATACAATACAGTTGCCGAAATAAAAGACTGCAATTGTATAGAGTTTGCATAGACGAGCGAGTCATCATCATTAAAATGAAATCTTAGAAACCGCTTGCATATATGACGAAAGCATAGAATTCTTCGTGAAACCTCGTACGCTTCATATCAAGCACACTCGTCTGCCGTATTTGTCCTTAGCCACCTTTGTAGATCGACTTGGTAGACGGTATTATCTCGCCTGCGCCGCGCACTTCACTCTTCGCGCAATCTATAGTGTATGGCGCGTAAATAACAATGAAAATTCGCGCGGCAGCTTTCCTTAGTGGCGACAATGTGACGAAACGAGGAGGAAGAAAACGGCGCTGCGCAATTGCCGTCCGCCGCGTACATAATTGCGACGGCAAAAAGTCCGAGCGGAACAAATTGTCGCAGCGCACCTCGCTCCTTTGTTGCAGGCGCGTGTTAGGTGTATTAGGTGCGATGCCCCGCGAGGGACGCTTATCTACTATATATATCAACGGTCGCCCACGACACGACGTGACTTACTCTCAATGTTCTTTTCATTTTGGAATTGTGCAAGCGAGATTTGGGTCACTTTGATATTTTGTTGTGATTCTTTTTTTCATGAATAGACTGTTAATTAGGCATTCTTTGAGACTGCCATGTTTAAAATTGCTTTCGTGCTTATCTGCGTGCTATGATTTTTTGTATTTTTTGTTTTTATTTGCAGCGCGAGATTATTCGACTTTGATAGTATGACAGTTGGCCAAATGAAAGCCCGGAATGTTATCTTGATTTTTTAATTAATAGCCACTTGTATTTTATTTGCCGTTGTATTAATCAAATATTGGCCTATATCAACTTCGCATGCTGCAGGAAGCTCAAATAATTATATATACCCGTAATAAATAAAGAAAAACAATGCACTTTAGGCAGAATACTTTGTTTACTTTTATTTGGAAATTTCGTCAAAAAAAGGATATCAACTGTATATTATTCTCATTGCGCGTAGAGATAAAAGTTTCTCTTTGCATACAGTCCAATATAATTTGTCAATATCACGAAAGCTCGCATTTTTTAATTGAGTACATTAAAGTGAGAAAGTTTTAAGTGAAAACACAGGAAAAGACATTTCCGTATCTTGAAAGCGAACTTGCTGATTTTTCACTACTTAATTGAGGAACAATACGAACGTACCATTTTTATCGCGATGAAACTAGCGTGACTCGGTGTACTACGAGAATAATGAAAGATTGGGAGTGAGAGTGAGCAGGTTACGTAATTATATCCATCATCATATATAACACTTAATGATCGAAATATCAATAACCCAATTACTTACGGTCAAATATTCTTGTCAACTCACTTCTTAGAACTTCCTAACGCCAATTGACTCATTACGTGAATCAGGACAATTATCAGTGACCCGTACGCAAAACCAAATATTAAGCTACTACGTAACGATCATTGAAATCCGCGAGGTTCGCGTTATACACGGAAAGCCCATAAAAGAAGACCTGTCGAAACATCCTTTGCCAATTTAGTAAAGAGGGAGAGAGAAAGAGAGAGAAGAGTCGAGTGCGCTCTCGTGCGTGTAGCCGTAACGAGAAACGCGTCGAAGCATCTCGCGCGATATATAAAAAAGTGCGGGAGTGCCGAGTCGCCTACAACTGTCGTACAACGAGAAATAACAAGAACGAACAACTGCCTAGAGCCGTCCGAAATATTCGATCCCTTTTTTTCGGGAGAGATCATTAAAATCTCTCGTTAGATTTTTTTCAGTAAAAGTATTCAAATTATTGAGAAAACAAATAAAGAAATGACAAGTGTTGGAATATTAACGTTGACAGTGTTAACACTTGCTGTAGCATTGAAAGCCGAAGACACAAGTACAACGACAACGCCGACAACGCTGCTTGCCACTACTACGAATACAACCAATGGTGGTGATAAGATATCAAGAAGGATTATCGAAGATAGATTGATGCCACCAAGAGCTTCTGATTTCGCAACTTGGAATAAGAGATTTCCCGTTGGCGATGTATATCGCGGCAATACTGGAGCACCAAAGGTTACTGAGGAGTTGGACGACAATGTCACTGAAAAAGCTCTGCCTTTGAAACGGACTGTGGGTTCTTCGTCCGCTGAGACAAGTAAACACGGCTTCATTTTTTTTCGCAAAAAACAAATTACGGGAGCTGAAAAGAATTGCAAAATTCACTGTTTTATGATTCATTTAGAATAAACTTCAGATACGCAGAAACTTTTTGATATAAATAACACATTGTGGTGAAGCTATTGTGAGAATCGTGGAAGTACGTCATATCACGAATCCCCAAAAGATTCATTAGCAGCTTGCTTACTTTGTTGATAAAATTTTAGACTTTTTTGTAATTTGTTCAGAGCAATTAATTGGAATGCTTTGAAAGTGAATCATGAAATTAATAATCGTACTCGCTTTGGTAAAATAATTCGGATAATAGTAAAATATTATTTAAAAGCAGGTCTATAGGCCAACTAAGTGACTGTTGTTTTTATTTTATTTCGTTTACTGTAAAAACTTCAACGTCAAAAGATATACACCGATTTAGTTTGAAAGAGATTTTTTTTTGTTTCAATGAAATTCGATCGGGATAAAAAAAATACCACACGAAAAAGTTAACGATCGTTATACTTATATTAACTATTCGGTGACTAAGGAAACGCTTGCAACTTAAATAATTTTTATAAATAAAAAAATGAATGATTGGCGCTCTTCATTTCATATCATCTATATCTCGAGGAGGAAATACAGACGAGCTAATCGAAACCAGAGAAAAAGTAAAAGCGGGCAATCAATCACGAGTAGAATGCAATTAGGCGTAACGAATTTACGACTGAAGGCTCGAAGGCGTCGGGGCCGTTAAAATCAATTTAACATAATAAAATGCGGACCTTTTCTTTCTTTTTTTCTTTTGTTTGCTCACACACGCGCACACACAGAGGCTAGCGGCTGCTGCGGCATTGGCGGTAAATCGTCAGCCCCCAACGGTTTTACGGACGAAAAAGTAAAGTCGGAGTCTTCGGATTTGACCAGTGGTAGTGGACCGACGGCGCGTTTCCACGGCAACAAGCAAGCGAATGACGACAGGTATACGTCTTCTCTCATGTGCTCTTTAGCCATATCCACCGAGGGATTTCTAGTTTCGGACGTACGCGTGTGTGAAAAAGATTTATTTAAACTGTACTTTCTGTAGGTACAGTTACGGATGGAAAAGCTCGAGCTATCTTGGCTACCAGTCAGATAAGGACAAGGGCTACTACAATCAGCGCAACCGTTACCCTTATGATAGGTAATTTTCCCTCTTATTCGATTTACTCTTTTGAGCTCTCTCACTTTTTTCTTCTCCTTCTCTCACTTTCTTTGTTGACTCAGGGTTCGAGGCTCTCGGGGATTTCCTTTTCATGACAGATGACTTTATTATCACTTTATGGCATTTTCCTTTGAAGCTTGTATCCGTATATTATAGATTTTTATTTATTTATTTTACTCATTAATTTGTTTATTAATTTATTTATCTCATATGAAATAACTTTTGTATGAAATAACTTGGATATGATTAATTTACGAGTATCAAATTTATTTGAACAGTAAGTTTTATGAAACTTTTCGCAAAAATTAATACCAAACCCTTTCAAATTATTAAAAATTAACGTTTCGGAGTAAATAATTCATTGAAAATCAATTTTTTCATTAATCAAGTGATTGGCTTCAGTTATAATTTTTACTGAAAATCTCAATTACTATTTACATCAATAAAGTCATTGCCTGGGAAAATTCGTCAGTTTTTTCCTTATTATCTACTATTTAATTATTTGTCATAACTATGTTAATTCCAATAATCAAACCATTTTAACTGCAAGCAAGTGTGAAAGCTTATATAATAATGAAATGATTTTTCGAATGTTAAAGTATTATAAAAAAAGTGTTATTTTCGAAAGACAAATATTAAGTTATGTACTTATAATTTAGCATGTATTGTTCAAAGCTTGAATTGATTTCTATTGTAATAGATACAGCTCCGGGCCAAGACCCACTTCGCAGGGCTATGGGTCCCAAGACGGCGATAGGTAATTAATTGCAACATATTTTTTTATGAAGCCCCTTAAAAAGTAAAAACAATAAACAAGAAAATTCAGAATGAAGATGAAATTGTGAATAATGCATAGAAGTAAATACTATTCAGGTACACAAGTCCACAAAGACCTAGTACAGTTTATGCCTTGGATGGCGATAGATACGGACCAGGAAGACCCAGTGGCAATTATCAAAGTGCAAACTATGCCTACGGAGGTCCATACGGTGCGGCACGTCCAGGAATCACCGGCAACATTGGCGAAGGCGATACAGACTATCCCTTCCCTGAGGGTGGTCCACCCACTGGATTACCACCCTCGAATCTACAGACACAGAAGGTCTTATTTATGGCCTCATTACAGTTTTACTGATTCTCTATTACTTTTTGGCCCCTGCCTTTTGCTTTCTTAGGCATCGGCAGCTAGCATATTTATTCAGTATGCTGGAGATATCCTTTCACGTAGATTGATTGGATTTATCGCGGTATTAGTTCGCGCTCAAGGGCTGTGAAGACAAAATTACTTCTTATTTCCTTATTTTACGGTCTGATTATTCAATATTAAATCATTAACCTTCTTTCAATTTATAAGTTTGATACGCTTTTCAATGGTTGATGGAAAAGATGCGCATTGATAGAATTTAACGTGTCTTCCGTGGAGTTGCTGGCGGTGAAACAACGATAACGAACAACGAACAGTTATGGAAGCTTTAGATGAAGGCTTGAAGAAGTGCGAGGGTATCTTTCGAGGGTGCCACGAACTTTACAAGATGACGCGATAAAATTGGCGGGCAACGCGGGCGCAAAGTATTACTGCGCACTGTGCGTATGTACATGGTGTAGTCAAATGACAAGTTCGCGCGCATGGCTGTTGACAGGCAGTGGCGTTGAAGGCACTGGCGGGAGTAGCGCTGATTGGAGCAGCCGCAGCCCTTGCCACGAATCCTGTCCTCATGCCAATCAGCGTAATATCCGGCAGAAGAAAGCGCTCCGCCGAGCTCAAGGCCGACAATTACGCTCTCACCGCTCTCTTACAGGGCTACATTCAGCCCACGCCAAATGAGGTTTGTCACTTCCCCCCTTTTGTTCCACGCGCACACCTTCGCAACCCATAGTCTACTTAGCGCACTTGCAGCTTAAGCGACGTATAACACACAGCCAGCGAAAATTATACGCTGCGGAGGAGGCTCGTGATTATATTCTAGGCCCCCAGTGTGCACTTCAGCAGTACGGAATGGTTGAGTTTATTTTTTCATCCTTTTTGTTGTGCCTATCCACGTTATAGCGCTAGTGAAAAATTATGAGTTTTTACCTCCAACAAAATTAAAAATGAAATTGAAATGAGTGTAATAATGACATCAATAATTGAATGTTTACTCGCTCGCGGAATATCTAGAGCAAACTCGTTACTTAAAACCCTGGCTGCAGGTGTATATCTGGGTATAGCTAAATATCGATTCTTAGATTGCACTTTTCCGACTCTGTCGACACTCTGATGGAAATATTCCTTCGAATGGACGAAGTCGAGTTTTAAATATACACGTGTCACTACTTCAATCTCCATCAAATATCTTTCTGAGGTCTTTCACGTTAGCAATAACGAATGAACAAGAAAAAGTAGCTATTTATTATGATCTCGTGAAATAAAACTCAAAAAACCACCAATCATTCGGTCAACGAATCACAAACGAGGCTAAGCTGACATGATCCAAGGTTAAAAAGAGAGCCAGGATTCAGTCAAGGCCAACTCGGTAGAACGAGCGTCATTTGAAATCCTGCCTAGCAGAATCTAGATTAATAGATGTACATATATGCATCTATGTGATTTACCAACAGGTAGAGCAACGTGAACAGTCAGAGGGTGGTAGTAATACGACTGCAACGACGACGAGCCATCAGGAACTGGTAATCAGTCCTCAATGCGTGGCGAGACTGGCCTGTCATGTGCATCGTGACTACCTCGACGAATTAGAGAAGAGTAAAGCAGTTACCGATGAAGCTGCTCTTCATGGACTCGAGCACTGGTTCGATAGTTTGTACGTATAGTTGCAGCTAACCGTTTCTCTCTCTCTCTCTCTCTCTCTCTCTCTCTCTCTCTCTCTCTCTCTCTCTCTCTCTCTCTCTCTCTCTCTCTCTCTCTATTCTTTGGATATACGTGATGAGAGATGGTACCGAGGGTTTCGCAAAAGGTCTGATAATTAGTTCAGGTTGAAGAGATTATTTATGTAGGTAAATACTTCCTGCCAGTTGAGATGCAGGACGAGATCCTTCTCTGTTTGTTTTTTGATCGAGTTTTGACGGATTATTCAGATTTTTACTGATTTTGTTTGATTAACGGGTGTTATCATTGTATTTTTAATTATCGGTGGATATAATCTTTTTTCTAAAATATTTGAACAAACAGCTATGAACTTTAGGGTAAGGATGTATTTCACGTTTCGACGATAATTGCGTTACGGGAAAGTAGTATTGTGCTGGTTCGGTCAGACGTGATATTTATTTAACACTGGTCGTGTTGTAGAGATTCGTGGAAATATTGTAATTGTTATTTAGATTATCAAAAAGAAACTTTTTAACTGTTCTTCTATTTTCAGAATTCACAGTAACATTTTAGTCGCTGACTATCTATCTGACGAATTGAAAGAGCTCATTGAATCTGCTATAACTATTGGATCTGACAAAAATGCATCTTGTAATCAATTTTCCTGTTTGACTGTTCGTGATTCTTCAGTAAAGAGTACAACTGTAGACACAAAACGCACAAAATAGTTATTATAAGATATAAAGAATATACTTATAATTGTAATAAAGTTATATATTTTAAGAACTATTTTTTAAATTTTAATTAGAATATAAGTTCTTCATCATTAATATTGTTATATGTTACAATGGTTATACTCATACAGTTAATTATTTCAATTCGATAGAGGTTATTTCAATAAAAATTATTTTGTACTTCGAAACATTTCAAAACAAAATACAATATTCTATATATCATAAATTGAAAAAGTCATATCAAATATTAATAGCATAATTTTCAGGAAATTAAATAACTAGGCATTATAATTTATACTTAAACATTTTTAATAATTTTAGTTTCAACAATCAATTTTTGATAATTTTCATTCTTACCGGATTTGTCCGTCAACAATATCAAGTATACAAAGAAGGGAAGTAAATTTAAAAAATTTGCTTACAAAAACTCAAATATATTTGTTGTTAAATAATTGCCAGTTAGAGAAAACTTATACTATTTTTTTAATATAAAAAAATTCTCTTCCACTATATATCAAGTGAATATTTAGATATAATTTTAGCAGTCAACGTAAAATTGACTTTGATAGTTGCTAAATCATACAGTCATTAACAGAAGTATGGCATGTTTTACAATCAAATCGTAGAATTATTTTTATATTTCATTAATAACTTGCTATTATAAATAAATTATCAGCTTACCAAAGAAAGATTTATTTATTAAATAATAATTTATGTATATGAATAATAAAATTAACTTGCTTTATATCATTTCATTTTAAATGCACATGTTTATAATTTTTTAATATTTTTTATCAATAAAAATAAATTGTTAACAAGACATGTCAATTTTAGCTTTTTGATTGGCAGGTTTCGAGACCATAGTGACGACGCTGATTCTCCAATATACACGAAAATCGTACGAGACAAACTGTTTGGATTTCACGTTCCATTATGTTTTTATTTGGAAGTAAGTTTCACTTACTACCGTGAAGATTCTATAAAAGATGATAAAAATACAAAAAAAGAGACGATCGACCGTGAAAAAGACGGCTCGCTAGAAAAATAGCTCTGCAATTATTTGCAACTATATCCGCACTGAATTTAATTGAATTGGATTCGGTATTCGAGGTTTCGAAGGCATGTCTGTCTTTCAGTATTAATGTCAATTGTGTGATAAATTAAAATTTTTTCTAATAAACTCTCTTCTTATTGTTGGTCATTGTATAAAGACCAAGTATATTTGTCATTGTATATTTTAGTGATCACTTTCCCATAACCATTAACTTTTCATTAAATTCAAATTAATCAAAATTATCCATACTTAAAATCAGTGCTAAAAATGTTGACTGGACTTCTTTTTGTAAATCTTTAGAATCATTAGCCAAAGACAATCAAAACAATTTTATCAATAAATCTATGCAAGAAAAATATGAATGTATTGTTGACTCTGTTCTAAATACTATTGAAGATTCAAAACTAAGTAAAAATAAATAAATTAATAAATCTCAAGAAAATACTAATATTAATAATATTTTTAAGAAAAATTTCAGTTCTACAATTTGGTAGAACAAAGAATATGATGAATTAGTTAAAAGAATCTTTGAAATACTCTTTAGAACACTATATTTCAAAAAATTGGATAAGTTATAAAATATGTAATGCATATTTAATAAACAAAAAAAAATTTTTTTAATTTACATCCACTCTAAGAAAACATCCTTAAAGTATGTTTGGAATATTGTGAAAAAAATTTTAAGCAGTGTTTAAAATAACAATTCGTAATTTATCGATGATCAAAATTATATTGATTCATTTGATCTTATATTAATGATTTTATCAAATGAAAATTGTAGGAATTTAATATATATAAAAATAAAAAAAATAAATCTGTTTTCAATTGTATTTATTATAGCTTAAATTCAGAAGATTTTTACATGCGCAACTTATATAATTTATTAATTTTAACATTAGTTTTGTTTTCTATATTTTTAGACGTCTAATCTGAATAAGACAGCCATTATATTTTTTACTACAAATTCGGTTATTGACATTTAGTAAATTATATTAATTTGCTATATAATAGTTTTCACGTTTTAATTTCAATTACATTGTTTAAATAGCTATTCAGTCAGATTAATGAACACGGCGAACAGACTACACTTTACACGAAGCAGGAGCTAGAGTGGACGACTTAAAAGCAGTCAGGAAGTGATCTCGAAGTAAACTATTCGATTCGACCAAGCAGTAGCCTAAATCGAGAGTATCGGACTCAAGGCATTTTGAAAGAGGTTACATACGAGTACGACATCTGGTGTGTAAATGATGAATTAAAAAGTCATGTTACGTTAATTTTAATTAGCTTATCTGCTTACCATCTGATCAGAGAGCGTGTTTATTTTTTTTCAGTTGCATCTCGAAATTGTGATTTGCTGGTCAAACTTTTTATCATGTACGTTAAAATACATATTGTTGTAATTTAAGTTGAGTGAAACTTAAAGTTTTTTTATGTTATGACCGTAATAACTATTTGGACAAAAATTGTATTATGAAATAATCAAGTTTCATAAATTGCGTTCCTATAAGTGATATTGCCTATCACATTTTAAATGAAAGCGTTATATCAATGGTCCATTGCTAATAAAAATTAATGTAACTCATATGTTGATTCAAGTGGAATATTACTTATTACTATTTCATTTTCTATAAAATGCAATATTACACAATAGTTTATGTTGACCTTGACCTAAGAAGATTGATATAAATATACATCATTTTAAGTTCTTTTGTAGATAGAAGTATACAACATGGTTACTATGTTACGTTCAACCAAAATAACAGGAATCAAATGTCCAACAGGACTGAGCTTTCATACAGCAGTAAGTAAAAGTTGAGGAATATTATATTTGTAATCACTATTTCATTTGTAATATTTATTTCAGAATACATGTTGTGAAAAAACAACAAAGCAAGAATTTTCACAAAAGTTAGAGAATGGTCCACAATTAGAAAATTTTATATCTAATAACACTATTGAATATAATGGAATATTGAAGCTAGCAAAAGGAGATCATAAGTCACGGCTGAGACTTCCTCCATGGCTCAAGACTCAAATACCAATGGGTAAAAATTACAGTCGCATAAAGTCACAGCTTCGTGATCTACGTTTGAGTACCGTGTGTGAGGAAGCTAGATGTCCAAATATTGGAGAATGTTGGGGTGGTGGAACTCATGGAACTGCTACAGCTACTATCATGGTATAAATACTTTAAAAATAACACTTCAGTAAATGTTTTATAATTTTACAATTTCAAATTTAGTTAATGGGAGATACATGTACAAGAGGATGTAGATTTTGCTCTGTAAAGACAGCACGGGCTCCTCCACCACTTGATCCAGAAGAACCGAAAAATACAGCAATAGCAGTTACAGAGTGGGGTTTAGATTATGTTGTTTTAACATCTGTAGATCGTGATGGTGAGTATAAATATTTCTGTGGATGATTTCTAGTGCATCGGTTTTACTTGAATTATTAATTCTTTCATACATATAATAGATATAGAAGATGGTGGTTCTAGTCATATAGCTACTACAGTACAGGAACTCAAGAAAAGGTATGTTCTCTAATATTAATATAAAAACTAACAACTTTTTATAAATCTAATTCTGACATTTTTTTTAGGAGTAACATTTTGGTTGAATGTTTAGTACCTGACTTCCAAGGAAATTTAGATTCTGTAAAAACAGTTGTTAATTCTAATTTAGATGTTTATGCTCATAATATAGAAACTGTTGAAAGATTGACACCTTTTGTTCGTGATAGACGCGCACGATATAAGTAAGATTAATTTACGTAATAAAATCTTTATTTGATTGTTTATTTAGATAGATTTATAAAAAATAACTACAATATTAAATACATATTTTATATAGGCAGTCACTATTAACCTTGCAAGAGGCAAAAAAGATCAATCCAGATTTAATAACAAAATCGTCAATCATGTTGGGGCTCGGTGAAACAGATGAAGAAGTTATGCAAACAATGAAAGATCTCAGAACGGTCGATGTTGAAGCGATTACATTAGGACAATACATGCAACCAACAAAAAGACACTTGAAAGTTATTGAGTATATAACACCAGAAAAATTCAAATCTTGGGAAAAAGTTGGTGAAGAATTAGGTTTCCTTTATACTGCCAGTGGACCATTAGTTAGGTCTTCGTATAAAGCTGGCGAATACTTTTTAACAAACATTTTGAAAGAAAAGAGAGCTGACAAAAATGCAAAAGAAAGTACATAAAATAATGTATGATAATAATTTCATTTGACTTTTTTAAATGAACAAATTATGACCTAGAAACAAATATCAAAAACTAATTTTAAAAATTGTTAATATTTGTTAAATTATTTGAAAAGTTTCCTTTTTATTATTTACTTTATAATAATATAATTGTTAATAAAAAGAGAATATTATTTTCATATTCAATTGTGCACATTTTATTTATTGATCAATATATTTAAAAATTTTTAATTTAGCTAGTTTGTGTAGAAGAATACACAACACCAACATTTTAATGTCCGGCTGGATCTCGAGTTTTGTAAGTTTTAACTGTTGTAAAAATTTATAGAATAAACGAACATCGTTTGTTATTTTAAGAAACATTACGGTGAATTAATCTTTATTTTTTGTTTGTATTCAAAAGTTGAGTTCGAAAAATAAGAACAAGTTACTTCAATTATTCTGTATCCATAGCAGATTGTCTTTGCTCTGTTGCAACAGCAACAGATGGATCTCTTGGACCAGGATCAGATGGTGGATCTTGAGGCGGTCTATCATCAGATTGAATCTCACCCTCGGTCGGTCTTCCACGTTTGTCATCACCCTCAATTTCAGACAAATAACGTTGCATTACTATTTCATCTAGAATGGAAAACTCAGTACCTTTGCCAACAATACCAATGGAAACATTCTAGAATTCAAAAAATTATAATCAGTATAATAATAAAAAAATGTAATATAATAAAATCATAATTATAAACCTTAGTAGATAAATCTGCTTCATTTGGTAGAGTGTCACGTAATGCTCTTAAACCATGCTTAATAAGATCATCTAACTCACACCCAGGAAACTCATTCAAATGTTTCTCCAAATAAGTGCGAGCACTTTGTGATCTGGCACCAATAGCCATTGCTTTACAATCAAAGTAATTAGCAGATGGACATGTCTGATAAATATGTGGACCTTGATCCTAAAATAAAATATGTATTTAAAAATATTGTATTTCAATTACTGATTAAATGTAACTATTTTTCACTGACTTACATCATAACCAGCAACTAACAAACCAACACCATAAGGCCTTCTATCATAACGCTGTGTACAAGTTTGCATTTTGTTACCTAGTGATGTGATCAAGCGACTGACTGGTAAGGCATCATCATGTGAATATTTGTAATTCAGACATTCTGTTCTCATGTAACGGCTAGAAATATGGTAGCAAAAATGTGAATAAATTTAAACTGAAATACCATTCTATTTCAAATAATGAAAATTAATTTGATACAAACCTCAACATTCTAGCATCAGCAGTAAGACCAGACATGGCAATTCCAACATGTCTGTCAATTGGGAATATTTTTTTCTGATGAGAAGATAATTCTGATGTTGCTCTTTTCAAAGCTACAATTACAGCATGAGTCTTACTTTTAAGACCAACAGTTGCTGACCCCAGCTTTACAGCCTCCATTGCATATTCCACTTGATGTAAACGTCCCTGAGGACTCCAAACTGTGACATCACTGTCATACTGATTGCGAAACTAATCAAAATCAAAAGAAAATTAGTAAAAATGGCTTGTATTGTTTGGAGCTTATATTATAAATATTATGAATCTAAAGATGTCAAAATGACCGGCATTGTGAAACACAATGACGCGACAATAAAGTATAACACGTATTTGCGAAGTTTACGAATTGCAATTTCAGTAATTTTTATTAAAAAATAGTTCTATAATTAATAGAGTCATACGAAACGGTAAACTCTTAATTTACTTAATTATTTAATCTGAAATTATTTAAAAATCTACACATAGGTAACACACTTTTGAGGTTAGTTTTTAGAAAGTCATAAAATTATATTACTCACCATTTTCTTAAATCTAATTTATTTTCCAATAGCTTTCAATCGTTTTCACGCCTTGAAATATTAATGATGAACAATTGTTCTTTTGATTCTAAACCGTCACTTCAACTTACCATTCGCAAATCGGCGTGATGTATCAAAAATGAATCATGCAAGTAATCAACCTTATGGAAGTGAATTCGGCTCGGCGGCAGTGGGCAGCGCCAATTTCTCGTCAACTTAATTTGGTAACACTACTTTTGTTTATTAATTTTCAAATTAACAATATCAAATGTAACAAGTAATGGCACATCCTTTATAATATAGGATTATTAAGTGAATTTTGAAAATGATTAATTAATTCATCGTAATTAAAGTAAATCTTGATATATCAACGATTATATCGATGTTAAAATTGTCTCTAAAGATTTTGAAAATATAAATTCGTAAAATTAGAAAACTGAAAAGGTTGTATATACCATGAAATATATTATCAATAATAAGTATCTCATGTTTTTTTATTTTTACTGGCTTGAGCTCTCGGAACAAATTTTTTTCAAAATGAAAAGCATTGTCTTCCGTTTAAAAACAATATTAAATAAATTTAAGTATGCAATGAGCAAGAACGCACCATTGAAGAAAAAACTAACATAAGTATAAGGGAATAAAAAATTATTTAGGATCTACGTGAAAGGCGCTTTAAAACAATTGGACGATCAATAATATTGTGCTGGACATGTGAAGCGCTCAATAACCAAAGTATATAGAGTATTAACAAACAAGGCCAAAAGAGTTCAAAAGAGCTCGGGAGCAGATGTATGGTAATTCGACGCCGCGGCCGCACGCGCTCGCAATGTCGAAGATAATGTAGCCGTGATCCTAGCCTATATATATTCGTTCCGCAGCGCGCACCGCACGCGGCGACCAGCATCTCATAAAAAGACTGCCATTCCACCTGCGATATCAGTTTACCACGGCAACTCTCGACTTTCGACTTCTTGATCCGTAGCGATACCTGCACGTATACAACGAATTAGCAAGTGCATCGTAAGCGCGCCTCGTATAAAAGCCAAGCAAGCTTTGGATCGCGTCGGCAGAGTTAGCTTGCGCGCAAATCGCGATTTCAACGACCGCGCGATGGAACGCTGGGCTGGCAAAGTCGCCGTCGTCACGGGCGCGAGTGTCGGCATTGGAGCCGCTATTGTTAAACAGCTTCTGAAAGATGGTACGCTCGCTTATACATTTCTTCGTGCATGATTCTTTATTTGCTTGTGTGTATTCCTGTTGTTGATAAACGAATATTTTGAAACGCGTAAATATTTTAAATTGCACGCGCACAGATGACGAAGCCTTAATACAACACCTTCGGCTTGATTTAATGCAACTTATCTTGTTATGTTTGAGACGCGCGTGCCGTGGTTAAAGTTGTGTCACGCCAGACGTGTTTGATAATGTTTTCTTGCTATATCAACAATGAAGGGATCGAAAAAGAGTAAATTTTGATTAATTGTCATTCTCGTGTAATCTTGAACCGTTAACAGGTGTTTTTAAGAACAGCTACACTGAGTTTTAGCCCCCATTGTTATTACTGAAAATTGGCCATAACATAAATGAAAAGGTAATTATTCGAAAAAACTGTCTGGCTTAATTGGCAGGTTTAATCGTAGTCGGGCTGGCAAGGAGAGTAGAAAAGATGAAAGAATTGGTCGATGATCCCGAGGCGAAATTACATGCCGTTGAATGCGACATAACGAATGAAGTCAATGTTATTACTGCTTTTGCTTGGATCAGAGAAAATTTTGGCTCCATTGACGTGCTCGTCAACAACGCTGGTTTCACAAAAGAATCCACATTGTCTGGTAAAACTTTTTCTTGCGCAATTATAGATATTTGCAATTGATTGAAAATAAAAAAAAAATGAGTAAAACAATTTAATAAAAATTCTTCGGAGCTGTTTCGAAATGTAATTGTTTTCCGAAGAAAGTTATGGTTTGCACGTGCTGTATTGTGCAGATGGTAGTCTGGAGGATTGGCGTGTCGTTTTCGACGTGAACGTGCTTGGGTTGTGCGTTTGCACGCGCGAGGCCGTGCGCTCGATGCGTGAATCCAACGGGGAGGCTGTAATTATTCACATTAGCAGTCTGGCAGGGGAGAGAGTGCCAGCGGTGCCTGGTTTTAACGTTTATCCGGCCACAAAACGTGCCGTAAATGCCCTCGCGCACACCCTACGACATGAGCTTGCAGGCACGAAAATTCGTGTTTCGGTAAATTTGTTTTTCTTTAACAATTATATTTCTAGTGCCATATTTTAATCAGGCTTTTTATTCAAATGTACTTTGGCATACATTTTTAACAAAAAAACATGCATCTTTCAGACAATTAGTCCCGGCGTAGTAGCAACGGAGCTTTTAGCTAATTACTCCACTTTCACATCAGATATGTTACAAGCATCACCAACTCTAATGCCAGAAGATGTTGCTCAAGCAGTATTTTTCATTCTCTCGTTACCTCCGCACGTTTTGGTAAATATTTTAATTATTTCTGAAACTTATTGCTTTGTTTTATTAATTGTCAACGTTTCCTTACAGGTCCAAGATATTATTCTACGTCCCTTAGGCGAATCTTGGTAAAAGATATTCAGTTATACAACGTAAAATATTGCTAAAATTATTTCACATTTGAAATTTTCAAAATGATGCACCTTGATTCTCATACATATATTATATATTCTCACGTTAAGGCTAAAAATTAATCTCTATTCGTAATATTAATAAAGCTTAATTACCGTTGTAAATAATATCAAACTGTTTTGATTCTTGTAAAAGTTTTGATATGAATATTACGATCTTTAAATTAAAAATTCTAAGGAATATACAATATATTTTTATACAATAAAGAATATTATTTATTCTAAAACAAATAATAAACAAAGAAAACGTTATTGTACAGCATATTTAGAAAAAGTAAAGCTTAGAAAATTAAGAAAGAAATTTATTTTCATCGGGACTTCAAGCGGTAAAATATATAATAACAATATTTTAAATCACAACAGTTGCAGGAGTTTGAGCAGTAAGTATACTGCATTAACCGCATCTTTGCGATTCAATACCAGTCGAGGTTTTTCTTGCAAGGTTGATCGGGGCATGTCAATGTCTATTAATTCACGTACGATACTCTTAAAACAAAAAGAAATTCATCGTATATTCAATTAGGAAACAATTCAAACCTTAGGCGAAATTAGAGCTCATAAGTAATCCATTCAACTCGCAATAAGTTTAACATTGGGCTGCATATGAGATAATTTGTTCGAAGGTGATCGGTCAATCCACGAAGAGCGTGTTTAGTAATTGCGTGTCTGATGGAGATGGGACGATTACAGTGCATCATGTGCCAAGCGCAAACATCGTTTATGTTTACTAAATTACGCTTAAATGTGGTACTAAGTGCATCATTACAATTTTATTTTATTGTTACTTACACGAGGAAATTTAGCGGAGGACACAAAGCTTTAGTATTTAACTTGAATGTATAGGATCAGCTAAGCTTTTGTTATGTTGATACATTTTCTTTTTACAGTAAATTAAATTTTATTGAAGATCAATACATATTTTTTAACTTGCTTTATGGGATCTAAATTTAAAAACTGTATCAAACTGACAGCTTTTAAAACAGTTAAAAATACTAATAAATCTATAAGTTGAAAAAAAGCCACTTTAATGCATATTGCATTATACTATATTATAATATTATCATCGAAAAAATACAGAGCTTCCAGCCACGCTTTAAACGTTTTTTGCATATATTCGTATGTGAATGAACATTTTTTTCACACATTCTCGGTGGAACTTTGAAGATGTTTTGGAGTTCACATAATTATCATCATTTCAAACTATATACTCCAATGGAAAGTTTACTTACTCTTTTCTTGAGAAGTCTTAACAGAAGAGTCTAAATGAGAAGACTAGTAATAAGAAGAACAGGGCTAATTGAATAGCCAAGACAAGTAAGCGGCAGTGTAATTAATTCACATCCTCAACGTTTTTTTCAATACATTTCATATTTTTTAATATTACATGTTCATTGCTTAAACTATATTGTACAGACATGAGTTTATTTAAAATACATGCATGAATTTTAGATAAACATTTAATAATTTATTATACATGTTGGTCAAATTGGACAATTCTTAGTAGAAATTCCAAGTTAAATATAATTAACACAGAAATTCTGATCCCCTATAAGAAAGAATTTATAAGTCTCATGTATATTGAGTTATTTGAAATTTAATACTAATATGGTGCGTGAATAGTGAACAAATAAAAGATATGGATTTATTTTTATTATAATTTTATCAAATATAATTAGGCTCGTATTTATCCGGCATAAAAACCCCAGTCATAAGTAGGGAAAAGCCATCTAAATATAAGCAAATACAGTCGACGAATGTACAGAGTTATGCTACTTATTATAGTTAATACATTTCGGCAGGCTCGCTTTGCCTGTGAATGGCCATTCAAGTTATAGACTACTCGCTTACCACACGACGCTAATTGCACCTTGTGCGAGAAGGAAGGTCGTCTCCTAGAGCAGCACAGTGCCAACGTCTTGGTCACGGGCACGGCCCGCACTATGCTGCCCCTAAAGTAGGGCCGAGTTGCTGCTGTCTGAGCTGCCCAGGGTCGGAGACGCCTCAGAGGATATCACGCATATCCTCAGCTAGGCCTACGGGTGCCGGTAGCCCTTGTTGCGATCGTGGGTTCGACAAGTCACAAGATAAAAGGCACGATACTGCAGGAACTCGCACTCACATTCAACACACACGTTACCCGTGAAGGCTAGCACGATAAACTAACACAACGACGTAACAATTGAAAGCAGCAGTTAACTGAGCGCAACTAGGTGACTGAAAAATAATGCGACGAGGTGCTGAGATAGAGCTACGAGGTGTAAGGATCGAGTTCTCGAGAGCTACTACTGCTTCCTCCTTCCTGAAGAAGGATCAGAGCTTTCTCCAGCATTGGGCCTGTTCGTGGAGACAATTAAAAAAAGCAAGGTTTATAGTGCCGAATTTCCCTCCGAACGTTTACCTGCGCGACAATTGCTGGACGACCATACCGCCTGTTTTCTTTTGTATCGCGCGCGCACCGCTGGAACTGCCGCACGTGTTAATATTCTGGGTTTTCCCCATCCGCAAAAAAAAAAGAGAGAAAACATTAAGCGACAAAGGACCGAATCTCTAAATAAACTTTCACATTTACAACCGCCACCAAAAAATTGTTATAAATTATTACTCTCTACTTTCGTGCTATGCGCATGGAGCGCAGATGCCGCGAACACATGTTATCTCCAATTCTGTAAGAAAAGTTATTCTGTTTCATATAAAAGACACTGAAAGTTCAGAAAAGTTTTTAGTTAGGCAGTCACTGTCTTGTATTAATGATGACTTATATTTGTCTAGATTGCGAACTTGTATTAATTTATTTTCTTTTCTTATGATTACATTTTAATATAAATCACCCCTTTCACTGTGTGAGGTATAATTGTAAGTAAATTTCTCAGTATTTATTCACCTGCAAAACTGCAATAGTATATCACTCAAAGATGCATGAATAAAACGCAAACGATTTGAGGTTAGTACAATAAGAATACAATAAAACGCGACAGTTTAAAATTAATTTAATAAGCAATCCCCTAACGCTGTAAGACATAAAAACGCAAAAGCAAAGAACAGAGATACGAGGGGTGTTCAAAAAATAAAGTGACTATGGTTTTCTTAAAAAATATTTATTGGTGAATATTTATTTGTTGATGTGCCTGGGACGTCCAGGGCGAAGTTCGTCTTCGATATTCTCTCGGCCTTTTTGGAACAGCTTATACCACTTATACACATTTTTTTTACTCATAGTAGACTCGCCGTATGCAATTGCCAACATTTCAAAAGTTTTAGAGCACTGGATTTCATTTTTCACACAAAATTTAATACAAATTCTTTGCTCCATTTGATAGAAGAAAATCACCAAACACTTCTAACCTCTGACACCTCTGCCAGAAAAACAACACATGCTAAATAGTCAAAACTAGGTCTTAAAAGTTAGCACCCAACAATTGAAATATTGAACAAATCTATAAATTAATTACACCATTCGATTGGGCGGCTTTTAATTAATCACATATCGTTTGTGCGTCGATTATGCTCATGTTCTTTATGTGAAAAATTGATAAAATTAATTATGGGTGCTGGCGTTAGCACCCAAATTTGATTCTCCAAATATAGTGGTTCATATCGTGAAAATAATTTTTTACAATATATCAATCGTTAGTGCGTCTCACGCATTATTGGCACCCAACATAAAATTATTAAAAAGTTTATCATTTAATTAATTAAAATAAAATAATACTCTTACGCATTTAAAAAGGTTATTCTGACATTGTTTCGCGCATGCGCCTCGAATGGAACAATGTTGCTCATTTTCATGAAGTCAAGACGATCTCAAATTTGAATTGTGGCGCATCGGAGTCCTCAGGTACCCACAGCCATGAAAACGAAACGAAACGAAGTCGAGACGAATCTATATCGTTTGTACATACGTCCGCAGTTAGCTGTTTTATCTCTCGTTCCAGTTTCGGTGATGTTTACATTTTCAAAAACGATTCCGCGAAAACATTTTTATTGAAAAGCTGTAGATGCTGTACGAATAGATAATTTTTTAAGTTAATTAATTATATTGGTATACTTTACTAACATAATTAATATTATGTTCAATGATATGTAGATCAGAATTTTCAATTATAATACACTAGAGCGAATTCACTCTTTTCAAATAAAGAGATTATATTAGATGTATCATAGTTCATCTAACTCAACTATTCATTTTAACTAATAGTGAAGAATAAATAGAACATTGTTGCTCAGTCGCAGACTCCATGCCATCTATAGTAAACCGAAGTAAACTAAATTCAACTAAAGCATTGTTGTTCAGTTCACGAGTCGATTTGCAGTCTGTACACATATATACTACCCTTTCTGTCTCCACATATTATAACATTTTCATATGGACAAGCTGTTGCAACCATCGTTATTGACTAGCAGACAATTTGTATTGTAATAAAATTTGAAAACCTTAAACATAAAATTTAACATATCAGTATTGAAATATTCGTTATATCATTGTTACTTCATTACATATTAATTGTTAATAAATTTTACCTTGAGTAGAAAATTGAGCCACACTGATAAAAACACCAATTGAAAACTAATATTGAAATGTTTTTAAATGTACTATTGTAAAGCGATATTTCAACTTTAAGTGAAGCTAAAGCAATCAACTGTCTATCTGGAAACATTTGTATAATCTGTAGCTTGAATTATGTATAGGTAGATTATAAGCATCAACCAACAAGTTTTTATCTTCTAAACCACGTAGTATAAGTTACTAGAACTTCTCATAATTAACAAGCACCTCCAGTAAATAATACACCAAACTAGGGCACCACGTGAGCTTTCCATTTTTCCGATATTTTGCCAGATAAATCTCAAAAGTATATTCAGGAATCCTTAATTTTAGAAATAAAAAGACATTTAACAACTGTGATGATACAAGCTAATCAATATAAATTTGATATATAATATAAGATAATTGTTTCACTTTCAACTACTGCATGTAATAGATTCAAGGACTGAATTTGCAATAAAAGATCTCGATTAACAACTACTTTTTCTATTAAACAATCAACCTTGAATATTTTACTTCTATTTTGTAATTGTATTTTGGAAGTTTAATTTAAGAAGCAAACATTCATCCTGTGTTAAGTTTTATTCCTGAAAGATTTAATGAAAAGTACCTGATAAATGTGTGTTTCAGTGGTAGCATATATTGGTTCTCCTTTAGCTGAGATAAACACACGCATGTTAACTTGATGTCTTCTACAGAAGAGGCCAAAACTATCCAAAATATTTTGTAAAAACTCATCGTCTGACCCTCCTTGCCCTTGCTACTGTTACGAAGTGCACTGAGTACATGTTAGAATGTCAACTGCATCTGAAATTTATTTATTATGTATTATTATGGCAATTTTCTCTTTGTTATCCTCCACTTGGAATGTTAGATAAAAGCTGCATTCCATATCAGATGTACAAGTCAGAACAACTTAAATTCATGAAATAAAATTGATAATTCAACTAAGCCAGCAAACAAAACTGATCGACTCATCATATAATACATTTAGGGGAGTGGATATCCTGTATCCTAATGCTAGTCGGATTGCTTGATTTTGAATTTTCTCTATTTTAGAGCGGAGAGAGGTGTTAGAGATGTTTGTTAGAAAGAGACTATACTCTAATGTGCTTCTAATGACTGACGTGTAGATTTTGAGTAAAGTTATGGGGTGTCCACCCCACCAGGTACCTCTCAGGACCTTTATTATATTCATGAGTCTGCTTGCTCTGCCTATGATGTATTCTGCATGAGCGTTCCATGTAAGATTGGAGTCCATTAGCACTCCAAGATATTTTATTTGTTTCGATGGAGAAATGGTGTGATTATTGAAGTTTAAGGTGTAGTTAGTAATATTCGAGAAGTTGTCTTCAGAGAAAATTATATATTGGGTTTTTTCTGGAGAGATTAGTAATTTTATAGAGTCGAAGTAATTTTTAGTGACTCTGAGTGTGTGTTCTAATATGTTTAATATTTCTTCGATGTCATTGCCAGCGGTATAAATGACAGTATCATCAGCCTATTGAATGAGTTTTATAACTAAGTCTGAGAGAGCATTTTGTAATCTAGCGATATAGAGACTGTATAAAATTGCACTCAGAACACATCCTTGAGGAACTCCAGTACTTTTGGAGTGAGATCCGTTTAGGTTATTTTGTATTTTGAAGTATAGTTTTCTGTTTATCATAAGGTTATAAATAAATCTCCGGATTTTAAATGGTATTTTCATATTTTTTAAGATTTCGTCAAGAATGGTTGGATCTACTTTGTCAAAAGCAGCCTTGATGTCAATGAAGACACAGCCAGTTTTAAGTCCAAGTTGTTTATTTATATGTAAGTCTGTGATTAAGTGAGCTAAGGCGTGCTGGCATGATTTAGCTTTCCTGAAGCTATTTTGA